GTAAGGGGATCAGAATCTGGCCCCAGAACCCTATGAATATGGGAAAGAATATGACATCAGAAAAAGTAAAAGCACATCAATAAACATATGACCAAATGGTACTCCCATTAAAAAGTTCAATACCCATTAAAACAAGAGGAATAAATATCTACATACTGCAGGCTTTAGAAAAAAATCAGACTTTGACTTTACAGAGAAATTATTCCACAATAAAAGGTGACGACTGAATAGTTAAATTCTTGAGGGAATTGGTGGACTGATTTGTGTCAAACTTCAAAATAGAACCGTTCAAAAAATAAAAATACATCATATTAATGAAATGCTAAAACAAATTCTAAGACTAACTAAGATCGCACCCAAAATTAGACGTTATGAAGACCCTTTCATTATGTCTCTAGATAGATTGGCAAAGTAAATCAGTGATTAGGCTGAGGATATCAATGGGAAAAGTTGAGTGCATGTATCAGTCTTTTCAGGATCGGGGCCTAATTGCACACAGAACCCGCAAGGCTGCAGTTATTGGAGTTGGGACTTCATGTGAGCACAGGGCTCCAGCTGCTTGGAGTTTATTGCAGGATCAAGGCCATGATCACAGAAGTCTGAGAATACAAGTGAAGGAGATTCATTCAAAACTCCAATAGATATTGGCAAAAAATGTTTCACATTCTTTTCTCAGATATGATTATTTCCCACAGTACACTTTGTGTTATTCAGACGGGCAATTTTTTAGTGTAATTCTGCATGTGTAAATTGTCATGAAATCGCGCTTGCAATTTTTGCGCACACCTCAAGCTTTTGGTTTTAAGCATTTGGCCTAAAACATATTTTTATTTTTAAATAGCCACATGAAGCAAATTTTAACATTATTTCCCTCTGATATTCCCTCCACACCTTCCCTTTTCTAACTGCTATTTTTGTTTGTTGCAATTGATTAAATGGGCATTGATTTGGCTGGTAAAACATTTTGTAGCAAGCAGTATTGAGCTCTGCTTTGCAGCTCTGCCCTCTGCTGTAATGCAAACCTTTCTGTTTTTGCGTAGGAGGAACATGAGTGAAAGTGAACTGGAAAAAATGACTCTTGCATTTTCCTTGGAGTAGCAAAAATCAAAACTGATCCTTTTGTTTCACAAAGCTTTAATTACCTGGCTCACCAAAAACAGAGCAAATCTTCCAAACCCAAATTTCATAACCAGAATGTTCTGCTGGGTGGAGATTACCTCATAAGGAGAAGCATGAGCTGAGGTCAAGTCTGCTTGTTCTGTTCCTAGCTCTGCCACTGACTTACTGGGTAGCTTTGGGTGTCTCATCTTGTCATCTGTGCCTCAGTTTACTCTTCTGTAAAAGGAGTAGAATTAATAATTATGTAAACAAAGAGATCTTTGGTGAAAAATGGAACCATGGTGATTATGCTTTACTACTGTTATAGTTATCATAGAAAAACTCTCAAGTCAAGAGGGGCCCCGGGGAGATGAAAACTCTATGGCATTTCCCTCAAGGCCTTTTCCCCATATTGATCTGTCAGAGGGAGAAGGTGTTGCCCTGTCAGAAACGGCAGAATTTTGGCCCCCCAAAGCCATGGATCAGCCAAGATCTATTGTGTGCTTCCTTGGGGGATGTGCCAAAGTCATGGCTCTCCATGAGGAGCTCTGTGTCTGCCCTGACTCTTAGCTCCCTTGGGCTCTTTGCTGTCTCTGCAGTTATTGCTGTACTGCAGGATCTGCTGACTCTAAGAAGGTGCTCCCGGGATCCTGGGCTATGCTATAGGAGCACTCAGCACAGCTCAGGAGGAGTGGGTGAAGCAGTGCAAAGGGGGCTTTTGACAACCTTTGTGCTTCCATGATCCTCACGGTGGTGAGTGCTAGGCCAGTCCCCAAGTACAACTTAAAGCAGCCTGAAGACTAAGATGCACTGAGTGCCAATGCCCTGCAGCAGTCCCCTTACCAGCTCTATCCCCTTATTCCCAGCCATGCCACTGGCACTCACAGCCAGGATGGGGGTTGAGGTAATAGCAAGTATGGTGTCTTTGAGCCACCCGAGAATTCCCTTTGCAGAGGGAAACCTCCACTGGCCAGCTTAGGGAAGTTTTGCACTACCCTAATGATATCAAGCTCCAGTAGGATCTCAGGGGCTCAAGGCCCTTTTGGTTACTGTGAACACTTAGGCACCAAACTTTGAGCACGTGCTGTATTTGAGAGGGAACCCCAATCAAAAGAGACTGCAGACACCCCCAGCTGAGCTAATGGGGTAATTAAGGGGGAACTGTGGGTGCCTCTGTTATTTCCCTAGCACAGAAATCAAGAGATGCAAATTTCTGGAAAAGTTTTGGTTTTGATTTTTTTATTATTGTTTTTTGTCAAAGACAATGAAGGTCTCAATCATCCCCTGGGATTACCATGCAGACAGGGCCCACCCCTGCCCAAAGAGGAGCGGCCAGGAGGGGCAATCATCCATCTCTGCAGCACCATCTCCTTTTTCTCAGACCTTACAGTGGGGATGGTTCCTGCACATGGGGAGAAGGTGGGTAGAGTGTCAGAGAGATGGACTTCATCCTTCCCAAATCTGCAGGGAATTTACTCAAAACTTCATGCATTCTGGGGCATTAACTTTTCCATGGCCTCTTCCCTGTGGAAGAACCTAACTTTGTGAGACAGGGTCCAGTGGAAGACATCTAGGAACCAGAGAGAGGACTCATAGCTGGTGCAGGTGGTCCTGGCCTCCTAGGTAGGGCAACCATATGTCCAGTTTTGGCTGGGACAGTCCCCTTTTTAAGCCCTGTCCTGGACATCCCAACATTTTTTGGCAAAAATGGGCATTTATCCCACTTGCTCTTGACAACTGATGATCAGCTGGCAAGAGCAAATGGAACAAATGCTCAGTTTCCCTCAAAAAGTGGAGTGCACACCCCCAGGGGGTACGGAGGAACATTTGTGGGGGCTGGGGAGCAAGTGGCAACACGAGGCACTGGATGGCAGAGCTCGGACTGTCAGCCCTGGGCAGCATGGGACTTGGGCAGTCAGCCCCAGCCTCAGGCGGCGCGGGGCTCGGGTGCTCAGCCCCAGCCGTGGGAGGCACGGGGCTCAGGCGAGTGGCAACGGCAGGTGGCTAGAGCCACCCCACACAGTGTCCCTTTTTTACTTGGGGAAATATGGTCACCCAACTCCTAGAGTTATCCCAAGAATCTTTGGATTCTGGAGGCAGAACACCCTGGTAAATGATCACAGAGTCACTTTCTTCCGACACTGAACAAGGAAATTTATTAGCATGTTCTCAAGACTCTTCTGCCTCTTTGTGAGTTTCACTATAAAGATTCTGCCTAGATCACTTCAGCCCCCTGCCACCAAACTTCCTGTTTAATATTTAAAGGAACAGTGCACATATGCTTAACCCCCATTTGTTCCAAACTGTGAGGGACCTTGTTCCCCACTCCAAGGAATGATTATGGAGAAATGCATAAAGGGAACCCTGTCAGGATTTCCTCCTGTCATTTTTTTCCACACAAAAGGAGAATTTTTTCCAAAACTCTTGAAATCTCAGTTTGCCCAGAGGTCAAGACATCATTTTCTTTAGTCAAGGTAGAAATTCCTGTTAAAGCCACATTATAAAAGCAGATAAATAATGTTAAATGGAGGGGCGGGAGGGTGCCTTTCAGAATGTATCACTGTTTCCCAAGATTCCTGTTTATTTTTCTGCCCTACAAAATAATATCAGAAATTGGGACATGGTGTGTTATTGACAAACAAAGAGTACATACATGTGTGATTTTGGTCTTCCATCTAGCTCTCCATTATAGGAAAAATGGATCACCAATATGTCATTAGCAGCTTGGGTTTGGTGTCCTTTGGGCATCTGAAGAAAAAAATGGGTCATCGATTAGTCCAGCAGCAGCCTGGGGCCCCCATATTTTAATTGCTTGTGCTGCATGGGCTAAATTCATCCCTGGTGAAACATCACTGGTGAAATCATGGAGGGATTTGGCCTTCTGTGTTTCGCCCTCTATATTATTAATGTGTCTGATAATGTGTCAAACAAATACTCTGCTTCTCAAAATGAGTGCGAGAGTATCCCCTAAAGTCAGTGGATACCTATCCCTGAACCTTCCCAGTGGCCACACTGGCCACTGCAGTATAAGAAACTGTTCTGAGAAGAAATGGCCAAGTAATCAAAAGCCCCTGAAGTTCAGATATGGTAGTTAATAACATCTCTCTCTCTATGCCCATTTTACATGCCGCTCCCCACCCCCGTCCCTGTGGTAGCTGAGTGCCGTGCATGAAAAGTAAACACAGAAATAGCTCTCTCTTCTGCTCCTGACAGCAGAAGACAACAAACTATTGCTGGAATTTATTCTTGAGATGCCCTCCATCCTAGACCCTCCAGTTGCATGCTTAATTAAGTGATTGTATTAGCTGGTTGTAGTTATTTTTGTTGGATACTCTGATTTGCATTTGGTTTACGAAAGGGAAGATGCATCGGGCAAAGGTGTCATCTATACCAGTTCTCTGTGTAAGCACTAGACCTGGGGGACTGGGGCCCGAAACCAGGCACCTCCAGCAGTGCCTGAAGATCCAGGTTTTTATGTTGCCTCTAGGTCTGGGGTTTGGGGGGGTGCAGAAGGAACAGTTACACTTGTTCTCCATTTAGGCAGTGGAATTTGGGTGGCTGAGGCCCAAAACAGTAAGGATCCTGCTTTTATCTTCCCCGCCCCTTCCCCCATACACACACACAATCACACATACTAAGAGTTTGTGAGGCTTTCCTGTAAGCAAACACTAAGCACCTTGTGACTGAGTGCAGACTTTCCCTGTGTGCGGACTTGGCCCTGTTCCCCAGCTCTCCAGGGCTGGGATTCACTGGGCTGCTTAGTGGCTCCTACCTTCGCACCCACCCACACAAGTGGCTCCTGCAGGGCCTGTTAGGCTGGAGCCCTGCCCAGCCACTCAGGGTCAGAGCAGCAGCAGCAGCCAGGAGCTGGGAAGCAGCCAGTCACCAACTTTCCAGGGCTCATGGAGAGGCAGAGGCTGGGATGGGAGGCTGCAGCAGGATGGATGCTGGGGCCCTGCCTGTCCTTGCTGCTGGGTGCTCCTGTGGTCAGTGCACTCCAGGGACCGTTGCTGCTGCTGTCCCCCGAGGACAGTGGCACAGAGAATGCCAGCTGGGGGTCCCAGGAAGCCCAGGATAATGAATCCTCTGTGCACACAGTCTTCTTCTCCCTGGATTATCAGCACGTGCAGGTTCCCTTTGAAATAACGCTCTGGATCATGCTAGCTTCTCTGGCCAAAATAGGTAAGGAGCCAGATTTCTTCTGGGCTACAGCAGGAGGAAGAGGAGAAGGGCAGAGCTCAAACAGGGGAGGGATACTCTGAGAACTTCCCTGCATTGGGTATCTGTTTGTCAAACCCCAGCTAGGGTGGAAAGTCCTTGCCTAAAACCCTCCTCACCCCTAAATCTGTCTGTGAGATTTTCAAAGTCTCTGAATGCCCCATCCTGCCCAGTGCCTGACTGAATTGCCCTGGCCTGGGAAAGACAGTCAACACATGCACTTCCCAGCCAGCTTCTCATAACCTGGGGAAGCTCAGGTGGGAAGTGAGTTATCAATAATATTTTTAAATCTTGGGCTAGATAGAAGAGAACAACTTCTTCCCTTTATGGTACTGAGCTGCTCAAGCTGACTGCATTTCACCTCTGCAGCGTCAGGTAGGGCTGTTTGTTCACAGGATACCAAACTAGATAGCCCTCTGGGCTGATCGTTTCTTTATCTCCCCCTTTCCTCCAAACACACATACAGACACACAGGGTTTGTGAGGCTTTCTTGTAAGCAAATGCTAAGCACCTTGCAGCTGAGTGCGAGACTTTTCCTGTGTGCGAACCTAGCCCTGCTCCCCGGCTCTCCGGGGCTGGGTTTCAATAGAGTACTGTACATTAAATTGCCATATTTGCAAATGGAAAAAAACCCCACAAAATTGCTTGTCAGCTTGTAATATGCAGCTGCAAATGATAGTGACATTTCCAAAGCCACGTGTAAGTTTATACATGCAAAACTTAAGAACTGCACACACGTATCCATGGGAGAGGAGAGTCCAGAAAGGATAATGGGAGTAATTGTGTAATTATATAACTGGAGTGACAAATTACAAATGTGAATAATAATCCTGAACTATGTGCCTGCTTTTGCAACTTTTCTGCACACAAGTCTCCACTGATGTCAATGGGAGTTAAGAATGAGGAGCGGGTTGGATCAGGCCCATCACAATGAATAATTTGGGCCTAAGAGTAATATGGTATAAGAAGGGAAATGATAAATACAGGCTATGAGCTCCATTAGTACTGCAGAAGCCCCTTAACCTTAATTTAATTATTCAGAAATATGAAATATCAGATGCTTACTTACATTGTAAGGTCTTTGGAGCAGAGATAGTCTTTTGTTTTAAGTCTGTATGCCACCGAGTACTCCAGGAGCCCAGTTCTGGTAATACAAACAAACAATACAAATAATGATTAATAAGATTTTTTTCTAATTTTTCCATTTCAGTTTGGTTTATTTTGGTTTATTTCTTTTCATGACTTGTGTTGCATGAATTTCTTTTTAAAGTTTAGATCTGTGCAAAGTAGCTGGATGTACCGCTTGTCCAGAGGTGCTGAGCTCACTTATCACAATGTTGTATTCTAACTGTTTAAAGAGCTAATGATTAGTGAATATTAAAATGCCCTCCTTTATAATTAATAAGAAGGCTTTCTCTGACAAAGAACATTCGTTGGAAACATGGAACACAATTTTAAAAAAAAAGAACTGTTGCTCTCTACTTTTGTGGTGCTGAAGAGAGTATGCTATTTAGACCCTACGCCATCTATTATCCTGAATTCCTTCATGTATATTTATCTTAGGTAGATTGTTTTCAGTGCCTATTGTACTGTTATCTAAAATATATAGCTTTTAACCTTTTGTTGTGATGAATTGAGGAATATACCAATTGTAGTTATTAAAAATCTCCTGGCACTTTTGGCAAAATTAGAGGTGTGCTAGCCTAATTCCAATTTAGGTAAATATACTCCACCTACTTTAAATTTTCCCTCATATTTTGAATTCTATATGCTATTCTTCAGCTTCTCTTTAAAAAAATGTTGTCTACTGATGTTGTGTAGCAAGATAGCTGTATTTCACCCCAGATGTGGCTGTGTTTCAATAGAGTATATAAAACTGTAAAGCACTTTGGGATCTTCCTGAATGAAAGGTGCTATAGCAGTGGTTCTCAAACTTTTGTACTGGTGACCCCTTTCACATAGCAAGCCTCTGAGTGCGACCCCCACTTATAAATTAAAAAAAACTTTTTATATATTTAACACCATTATAAATGCTGGAGGCAAAGCGGGGTTTGGGGTGGAGGCTGACATCTCGCGACCCCCCATGTAATAACCTCATGACCCCCTGAGAGGTCCCGACCCCCAGTTTGAGAACCTCTGTGCTATAGGATGCTATTTATTTATTAACTTTTCATTTTACCAACATTTACAGCATTTTTTAAAGTCACTTCATGCTCACCTAAAGAATCCTACTGGCATTAAGTTATTATTTAGGATAAACAGCATCAGTTCACACCCCACAATGCTCTCTTCTAAAAATGACAACGTGGAGCGATTCCTCTTTTGTATTATAAAAAAGTGAGATGAAATGATGATGTCAACATATTATGCTGATTCTGGATAATGATGTAATCTTTTTACTGTTCACCAGCATTTCATCTGTTTAACAAGCTGCCGTCAGTTGTGCCTGAAAGCTGTTTATTGATATTTGTGGGGCTCATCATGGGAGGAATCATCTATGGCTTAAACGACAAGTCCCCACCAGTCATGGACAGTAATATCTTTTTCCTCTATTTACTGCCACCTATAGTCCTTGATGCAGGGTACTTCATGCCCAGCCGTCCCTTTTTCGAGAACATTGGGACTATTCTTCTGTATGCTGTAGTGGGAACTATATGGAATGTGTTTGGGATTGGCTTCTCACTGTATGGGATATGCCAAGTGAAATCCTTTCATCTGCAGGATATATCGTTGCTCCATAATCTCTGGTTTGGCAGTCTGATTGCTGCAGTGGATCCTGTAGCAGTGTTATCTGTGTTTGAAGAGATACATGTCAATGAAAAGCTTCACATTTTGGTTTTTGGAGAATCACTCCTAAATGATGCTGTTACAGTGGTAAGTACTATCTCTTATGTTGGTATTAAGTGTACGGAGGAAGGATGGTCCTGTGGCTAGTGCTAGCCTGGCACTCAGGAGACTCACATTCAATTCCCTGTCCTGCCAAAGACTTCCTGTATGACCTTGAGCAAGTCCCTTAGTATCTCTCTGTTCCTTAGTTCCCCAGCTGTATAATGGGGACAATAGCACTTCCCTACCTTACAGGGATGTTGTGGAGCTACAAGCAGTGGTCATTACAGTAGTGTAAGGTTTTTTTTTTAGTGTAGAAAGGGCCCATGGAATTTGGCCCATTGATTTTTATGGAGAGCTCTCATTAACTGCAGTGCGAAAGGGTTAGGAGGATATGATCTATAACGGCGTAGTATCTACAGTCTGTTCTCAGTAACATTCCCCTAGAGCCAGTATGTGCACATGAAGACACTAAGATATGAAGAGAAAAAGTAAATTTGCGGAGAAGCCTAACAGGTTTTGTTTCAGAAGCATCGTCAATATGGGAATTAGATTGTCAAAAGGGGCGGGGGGAGGAGGCAGGGAGAGGGAGGGGAACCTTTTCAGTGACCAAACTATAATTAAAAAGTAAAACAAAAGTATCTTGTTGCTACTATTATTGGCTACAAGAAAGCATGATTCTGGTGCTGAGCTGCCTCAGCTCCCATTGAAATCAGCTGCTCTCAGGGATGAGTTATGCAGGAGGTCAGACTAAATTATCATCATGGTCCCTCTGGCCTTAAAACCTGTGAATCTATAAAGTGTTCTTTGGAGCCAACTCAGCACCTTGCAGGATCAGGCCCTAAAATTGTTATTTATTTAAAATGTTTGGATGGACACTTGCTGCATTGTCATAACAGGAGCAGACATGTTTTGAAAGGACAATCTGTTAATATGTACCTTCTTCGTCTTTCTACTATGAACTAAATCTCAATCCGCTTAATAGTTACTTTATTTAAAATAACAAGAGTGACTTTCCTTTGTGTCTCATCTTCTGAGGAGCAAAATCCAAGCCTGGTTCCTGATTTAAAAAATGACTTATTTAGTTTAAAAATGAGTTATTTTCCCTCTTCTCCACTCTAGCTGCAGAATCCCATTCTGAACTCACTTAGGGCCTGATCCAGAGCCCACTGACTGCAATGGGGTCTTTCCATTGATGCCAGAAGGTTGTGGATCAAGGTCATAGAGTCCACATAACGGTGAGCATGTATACAGTGGTGAGCTTTTACACAAGAGCAGTCCCATTGAGTTCAGTGTTCACCAGGGTGGGTAAAGACTGCACAATTTAGCCCCTGAATAGTGAGATCCCTGAGAAACATCCTCATATTTGTACAGTGCTGAGTAGACTATCAGCACTCAATACATTATAGTAATAAATAAAGCTTATCAGATGAAGTGTCTCTATTGTTATCTAATGTGCCCAGTCCTTTGTTTCTTGTGAGGTTTGGGCATTGAGGAATACAGGATTGGATCTAATATGCTGACTCAGTCATACCAGTTTCTTCAAGTGGGTTCAAAATAAGATTCTGCAGCTGGAGTCAGGCACTGCCTATCACTTTATATTATGCAGTGTCTTTTATACTGCATACGGTACTCTTTTATACTGAAGAATTCTAGTCAGGAAAACACTAAGTTAAAGACTATTTCTCAACAATTTAATTTCCCTATAAATAAAAGGGACAGTAAAAAATCAGGACCTGTTATGCCCAATACTTCTACATCAAATTTGGGTTATAGAAATAGTTTAGCGTGAAATTGTCCATTTTAATCAACAGCCAGTGCTTGCAGGAAGATATTTAGGTCCAACATCTCTGCAAAGCTCCCCACTTCAGGAAGTCTCCTGTTATAAAGTCTGTTGTAAAGCCCATTGAAGTTGATGGAATAATTCGCCTTGATTTCAGCAGGTATTGGGTCAGGGCTTATCTGCATGCCAGAATGTTGGTACACCAGAGTTGCCACTCATGATAGTGCACTCATTGCTTTCAGTGATTGGTATAAAACTGCTGGTATCATTGGCTGCATCAACAGCCTGATGTACAACCAAAATTTGACTTGATGGAGTTACTGTTAATGTTTAAAAAGAACAGGAGTACTTGTAGAGACTAACAAATTTATTAGAGCATAAGCTTTTGTGGGCTACAGCCCACTCCATCAGATGCATAGAATGGAACATGTAGTAAGAAGATATATATATATACATACAGGTAAGTTGGAAGTTGCCATACAAACTGTGAGAGGCTAATTAGTTAAGATGAACTATTATCAGCAGGAGAAAAAAACTTTTGTAGTGATAATCAAGATGGCCCATTTAGACAGTTGACAAGAAGGTGTGAGGATACTTAACTTAGGGAAGTAGATTCAATATGTGTAGGTTTCAGAGTAACAGCTGTGTTAGTCTGTATTCGCAGAAAGATGCATCCGATGAAGTGAGCTGTAGCTCACGAAAGCTTATGCACAAATAAATTGGTTAGTCTCTAAGGTGCCACAAGTACTCCTTTTCTTTTTGTCAACATGTGTAATGACCCAGCCACTCCCAGTCTCTATTCAAACCCAAGTTAATGGCATCTAGTTTGCATATTAATTCAAGCTCAGCAGTTTCTCCTTGGAGTCTGGTTTTGAAGCTTTTCTGTTGCAAAATTGCCACCCTTAAATCTTTTACTGAGTGGCCAGAGAGGTTGAAGTGTTCTCCTACTGGTTTTTGAATGTTATGATTCCTGAGGTCAGATTTGTGTCCATTTATTGTTTTGCGTAGAGACTGTCCGGTTTGGCCAGTGTACATGGCAGAGGGGCATTGCTGGCACATGATGACATATATCACGTTGGTAGATGTGCAGGTGAACAAGCCCCTGATGGCATGGCTAATGTGATTAGGTCCTATGATGGTGTCACTTGAATAAATATGTGGACAGAGTTGGCATCGGGCTTTGTTGCAAGGATAGGTTCCTGGGTTAGTGTTTTTGTTGTGTGGTGTGTGGTTGCTGGAGAGTATTTGCTTCAGGTTGTGGGGCTGTCTGTAAGCAAGGACTGGCCTGTCTCCCAAGATCTGTGAGAGTGATGGGTCGTCCTTCAGGATAGGTTGTAGATCCTTGATGATGCGTTAGAGAGGTTTTAGTTGGGAGCTGAAGGTGACAGCTAGTGGTGTTCTGTTATTTTCTTTGTTGGGACTGTCCTGTAGTAGGTTGGTATACCTGCTGAAATGAAAAAACAGATTGACAGACCCAGAAGAGTATCCAGAAGTCACCTACTACAGGACAGGCCCAACAAAGCAGGTATACCCAACTGCTGAAGTGAAAAAACAGATTGACAGAGCCAGAAGAGTACCCAGAAGTCACCTACTCCAGGAGAGGCCCAACAAAGAAAATAACAGAATGCCACTAGCTGTAAAAGATTTAAGGGTGGCAATTTTGCAACAGAAAAGCTTCAAAACCAGACTCCAAGGAGAAACTGCTGAGCTTGAATTAATATGCAAACTAGATGCCATTAACTTGGGTTTGAATAGAGACTGGGAGTGGCTGGGTCATTACACATATTGAATCTATTTCCTTAAGTTAAGTATCCTCACACCTTCTTGTCAACTGCCATCTTGATTATCACTACAAAAGTTTTTTTCTCCCGCTGATAATAGCTCATCTTAACTAATTAGCCTCTCACAGTTTGTATGGCAACTTCCAACTTATCTGTATGTGTATGTGTGTATATATATATATATATATATCTTCTTACTACATGTTCCATTCTATGCATCCGATGAAAGCTTATGCTCTAATAAATTTGTTAGTCTCTACGGTGCCACAAGTACTCCTGTTCTTTTTGCGGATACAGACTAACACGGCTGCTACTCTGAAACCTGTTAATGTTTAGGATTTTAACTGCACTGGCATGTGAGTAGAAGGAAGATAGTGAGAAATAATATGTATTTAAATGCTTTGATTATAGATATACAATGTCAATGTGTTTGTATTTATAATCCTTCATGGATCAGCAGCAAAGGTAGGAGTTCACCTCTCTTCCCGTTCATTCACATCAGTAAGGGGTGAGCTTCATAGTCTAATTGGAACCATTAAATTGAGACGTTCCATCCCACAGACAAATTCTTATTGCTAGTTTCTTTCATACAACAAATCTTTAGTGGAGACTTAGAGGGAGAAAATCTCCATGAAGATCTCCTTGCAGAACAGCCCCTAGGTATCATTCCATGGGGAGGGTGGGGTTTGTCTCCCATGTGATAGGCCATGGAGAAACCCTGTTTTTCCCCAGGGATCTAAAGGTCTAGGGCAGGCCGTGAGGGAACTGTATGCCTTTACACCTGACCAAGCTCCTGGCAGGCCGCCCCCACCACTCGCCACATCCATTGAAACCTCAAGAGCCAAGGTTTAGGCTGCTTTATCTTTTCTTGGAAATCCTTGCAGGGCCATAGGGTAGATGATGTAAAAATGAGGCAAAACCCATTGGTTAAAAAGAACAGAGTGTTATTGTCATAACACTAGGAAAGCATTTCACCACATAGGCAGAAGTGTCACAAACATTTAATGATGTGTCTGTTGCCTGTGGTCATCTCTAGCTAATGTTTGTTTTTCTCTCTCTTTTTCCTTTTATTTTTCTTCTAGGTGCTGTACAAGCTGTTTAGATCCTTTTGCGAAATGTCAACAATCAAAACTGTGGATGTGTTTGCAGGAATTGGGAAATTTTTTGTGGTTGGAATAGGAGGGGTATTGGTAGGCCTTTTATTCGGGATGATTGCTGCCTTTACCACACGATTTACCAAGAATATCCGTGTAATTGAACCCCTCTTTGTCTTCCTGTACAGTTACCTTTCCTATCTCACTGCAGAAATGTTTCACCTCTCTGGTATTGTGGCGTAAGTATATGCACGGGTTTTCTTATTCATGCAATTAATGCTTTTGGCTATATTCAGAAAAGAATCAGTCATGATTACATCAGCATTGCTTAGCGTGAGATGTATGATAAACATCTCAGTATTAAGTGAAACAAAAAAATATAAAAGCCTTTGAAATGGTACTGGGACATAACCACATTGCATGCATTATACAATTACACATAAATGGTGATATGCATTCTTCAAATGCGCTCACATTTTCTGAGGATTTAAAAGACAAAGAAATGGCCTTAGCAGTGTTTCACAGAACAGATGGCATCTGACTTTAAATGATTTGAAATGCTAAAGGACTTAGGTTGAAATTTCAGGGTGTAAAGATTGGAGCTAGCTTGTGTATTTTAAAACTGGAAATCATAAATAGCCCTGATTATTAGAGCTGGACAGATTTCAAATGGTTCATCTATTCAGTCAGGCATCCAAACGTCTGCAAGCTTATTCAAGCTTGGTTTAGTGTCTTTGGTCTGGAAAATGTGCATGGTCAGTATGTGTGAGACTTCCAGTTCTTTGTGGTTTTGGCTGGGCCAGAACAGGCTTTCTAGTAGTATTTTGAGTTCCAGTCAGTACCAGGATATGAAGAGGTGCACTAAGTGGTTGATTGGATTCTTTGAACATCAGAAAAAATTGGGTTTGATCTGGGTTTTGGGCAAGACTTGAGTCCATTCTAACTTTATCTCCAGTGATTTGCCCATCCCTACTGATTAGCTTATTTAGGTCTATATCCTGCCTTTACTTTCTGATGGTATGATTGGGCAGGCAGGATTGCTCATGGTGACTGGGATGACTGTGTGATAGGTTACACATTGCTTCTCCTTTAAAAAAAAAAGAAGAAGATTGCACACTTTCCGCCACTTTGTGTACACTCCAGCATACATGGTACCTGACCAAGACGTAACTGCATTCCTGGCCTGCAGCCCTTGGGGCTATAGCACTTCAGTGCACAGCAGCCAGTCCCATAGCACTCTGTTGAGTGTTCGTTATCCTGTCCTACTGTTGCTAAGGTGATCTTCTCCCCTCAGCATGCCCCTGCTCAGCCCAGGGCAAGATCTGGCTCCTTGTGTTTTAGCTTAGTTTTTCAAAATCAACACAATTCACAGGTATACTTTCACATACCGTGAGTGTCACAAAACAGCATCGCCAACAGTTACAACACAGTGGTATCCACAATTACCAGTTTTCCCTACACTTAGATTATGAAGTGGCAATGTGCATAATGACTCTTTGATTGTAGGTAGACAGATAGACAGGCGCACACCCACTGACCTTGATGCTATCATGCATGATCAGGGACCGGATTCGTCTTTCTGTTAAACTGATGTAAATTAAGAATAATTCCACTAACCTCAGTAGAATTATACAGTAAGTCCTTGCTTAACGTTGTAGTTCCTGAAAAATGCGACTTTAAGCGAAATGATGTTAAGCGAATCCAATTTCCCCATAAGAATTAATGTAAATGGGCGGGTTAGGTTCCAGGGAAATTTTTTTCATCAGACAAAAGACTATATTATATATATATATATGTATATACACACTGTATAAGTTTTAAACAAACAGTTTAATACTGTACACAGCAATGATGATTGTGAAGCTTGGTTGAGGTGGTGAAGACAGAGGGTGGGAGAGGGTGGGATATTTCCCCGGGGAATGCCTTCCTGCTAAATGACGAACTAGCACTCGGCTGAGGCTCAAGGGTTAATACATTATTGTTAATGTAGCCTCACACTCTACAAGGCAGCACGAATGGAGGGAGGGGAGACAGCATGGCAGACAGAGACAGAGACACACACCCTATGTGTGGTAGAGAAGAGAGAGAGAGATTCACATTGCCCCTTTAAGTACTCTGACACCACTCTAAGTACCTTGCCTTTTTAAGTAGATCAGCAAGTTCAGACAGCAGCTGCTGCCTTCAAGCTCCCCCCGTCCTGAGCCCTGTTGTGTCCCCCCCTGCTCTATGGAGATGGGGTAAGCGGGGGGCAGGAGCAGGGGGGAGGGGGACACCCTGACATTAGTCCCCCTCATACCCCCCCCCCCCCGCACAGCAAGCAGGAGTCTCCCGGGAGCAGCTCCAAGGCAGAGGGCAGGAGCAGCACATGGCAGTGGGGGGCAGGGACAGCTGAACTGCCGGCAATTGATAGCCTGCTGGGCAGCTGTCACACAGGGAACTTAGGGGAGCAGGGAGCTGCCAATCCACCCTGGTTCCAACCACCCACCAGCTAGCTCCAATGGGCTGCTCTTTCTGCAAGCAGTGGACAAATCAGGCGGCTGCCAAACAACGTTATAAGGGAGCATTGCACAACTTTAAATGAGCATGTTCTCTAATTGATCAGCAATGTAACAACGAAACAATGTTAACTGGGACGACTTTAAGTGAGGAGTTACTGTACCTGATTTCAGTGGCGTAACTGAGAGCAAAATCTGGCTTGTAGCATAGTGCGTATGAATTAGGATGAGTGTAACTATGGGCTTGTCTACAACGTGGGGTGATGCACTCTATGGGGGTGTGATTTGTTTAGTGCAATGTCATACTGCGCATTAAGTAGTTCATGTAGACCAGTGGCTCTCAACCTTTCCAGACTACTGTACTCCTTTCAAGAATCTGATTTATCTTGTGTACCCCCAAGTTTCACCTCACTTAAAAGCTTACCAAATCAGACATAAATATACGAATGTGTCGCAGCACACTATTACTGAAAAATTGCTTATTTTCTCATTTTTACCATATAGTTATAAAATAACTCAATTGGAATATAAATACTGTACTTACATTTCAGTGTACAGTATACAGAGAAGTATAAACAAATCATTGTCTTTGAAATTTTAGTTTGTACTGACTTTGCTAGTGCTTTTTATGTAGCCTGTTGTAAAATGAGGCAAATATCTAGCTGAGTTGATGTACCCCCTGGAAGATCTCTGAGTACCCCCAAGGGTACATATACCCCTGGTTGAGAACCACTAGTGTAGACCCTGATGGTGCTCACTCAGGGTTCTCTAGTGTATCAAACAGCACTATGCTAAAGCATACATGGGAACCTGTAGGGAGCTCCTTCACTGGTGCTTCTGCTGCTTCCCTTGAATGTCATCCTACGTTGCATTCCTGACTTTGGCCCTGATCCCTCAGTGAGCTCCATATGATCAGACCACTGTGCCAATGCGAAGCCCTTCAGCCACTGGGACTCCATGCAGTCTCAGGAGTCAACACATACAGGATGTTTGGAGATTCCCAACTCTTGTGATTTCATCACAAGTCTCTTGGTATTCAGTGGTTTTTGTAAAGTTCCAGCACCTGGAGTCATAAGATTACTGACTGTCAGTAGAAAACCGAGGGATAAATAAATGCATGTTGTTCAACTTGTAGTTGATCAGCCCAATGCAGAGGGTGCTGAGGATGCCTTCTCTAGAAGTGGAGAAGGCATTTGACGATACAGAAAGAGATGATCTTTTCCATAACTGAAAGTGCATGAGGAAGTGGCAGCACTGAAAGGTCACAAGAGGAACCTGGTATTTGTTGAACTATCTATATCTACATTTTGTTTCTGAAAATATTGGAGGTTGATAGCCAAGAAGATAAATGCAAGATATTGATATCTGATCTACAGTTAAAATATGTGGCTCCTTTAATAAAGATTTTTAAACATCAGAAATTATTTTTGTTTAAATGTTGCAAAATCATAACTGTACTTTAGTTTCAATGCCAGTCTAACAAAGAATTCAAGAAACTGACTCATCTAAGGAATGGAGACACCTTTCCTTTACAAAACTCCCCTACAAGTCTCTGGGGAAGCTAACTGGAGCTATCAAGGTTCTTTAAGTACAGCTTTATATAGTAATTGAGAGATGCTAGTTTTTAATTTGAAGAAGTTGACTTTAACCTTAGGAACATGATTAACTGTGGGCTAAATCCTTCAATCTTGAATCAGACACCAAAACGCCCACTAACATTAATGAGAATTGTGCCTGAGGAAGAACTGATTTAGTCCTGCAAAACTCGATCCAGTATTTCTAATGGACAAAGAGATCTTACTTTAGAATCAAAGGCAGTATAGATGGAAAAGACTGTATGAGGTCATCCAGACTGTTTCCCTGACAGTGGTTGCTAGCTCTGACCCTGACTCAGGAAGTGGACTCATCTAGTGCTGACAAACACAAAAGTAAAGATATTTAGTATTTCCCTAATGACTGTCAAGTGCACCTAGACTCCAGTGATATTTGCCTTATAGACAACTCCAATATTGATAATACTGATGATGAAAAGAAAATGAAACATTAAACGTCCACCTACCAGTTCAATACAGCAGTATCTGGATGATCTATGTTGAAACCAATGATACTACGCTGTGTAAAAATAGGAATCGTCTATACTTTGCAGGTTTTGTTTCCTAGATGGCCAGTACAAAGCAATATTTCAGTATTGCTGAAACAATTATAGTTCAGGGGAAAAGGTAAACTAAGGCTCTGTTATAGTATCATGTGACTGAACAGTGAAATAAATATGCTGCATAATCAGCATGGAAGGAGAAGGCTTTCGGACGTAATGGTGTTTCCTTCTGTCACGGGGTACTGTACCCAGCATGGAGCCCATTTTTTTTCCTTTTCAATAATGCATCATTTCTGGATCAAAATGGGTGCTTGGACAGCTACTTCCTTGTCATAAGAAATTAAGATTACAGATAACGGTATATTTTAAGATTTAAATATAAGAAGTAGAAAGACACTTATGGCTCATTTGTGTTTCTTAAGCCTTTTAAACTACCTTCCAAGAAGATGTTGTCAAGCACATTTTTTGTATTGCTCTCTTGTTCGTGATACCAGTTTAGTACCCTGAAAATATTCTCCCCAAACTAACAGTATTTTTATTTTGTGCTTTGAAATTAACATCACGGTTGTAGTTTAACTTCATTGTTTTGCTCTGTAAATATCTGCACAGCTGGGTCAATAAGGGTTTGTTAATTAGCTGCTGCTGAGCCAGCAGAGGGGGAAAGATCACAAGAAGATGAGCCTCATTTTGCTCTTGCTAACAGCAGTACAAACCAGGAATAACTATGTTGAAATTAATGGTGTTTTACTAGTAGCAGAGGACAGAGGAGGCTGGTGAGAGGAGAATCAGGCTCATTGGTTTTCCATGGGTTGCAGAAAAATAGTCATGTGAGATCTCATCTCATGGAAACCTTGGCCATTGTTGCTGTTGTCATCCTTCTGTTCAGTTGTTGAAACACACTATTTGCTGCCCTTACAGATAGCGCTCCCTACCCATATTATTAATGCTCAGTACAGATCTTCACATCCAGGCTTCCCAATGGCCACATATTTCCCCTATTTAGAAAAATTGACAATTTCCAGCAGAAAATGATCACATTTATTCCTGAGGTTCTCTCTATTCCCACTGTACACTAGGATGTACTTTGCCCAACGTTTTGGCAGTGAACACAGAAAGGACAGATGAGCTCCTCTCCCTGCCTCATTTCACTGCATTTCATTGCAGTTTAGAAGTGGAGGCAAAAAAGTAGTGGTGTTTTTTTTTTTTGCCAATTTCCTGGGACTCGCATATGAAATAAGAAAGGATGGAAATTACAGGTAAAATAAGACTTAAAAATGATGAGATTAAAATCAAAGAGAGGGAGGGAGGGAGGGAAAGAGGAGAAAGTTGGACAGAAATGTTCTCATTATCTCTCTTTTTCATGCCCATAGCTGAACTGTATATTCACTGGGAGCTGGCACACCGTTGTGACTTTGCCAATAAAGCCCAAACACCCAGTTAGAATGTGTTTTTTGCAGTCAGTGTCCAACGCTAATCTCCTCGGCAGTGTATACTGCTTCCCACTGAGTAAATTTGTCATTCTGTGGTCCCTGTATTATATGCCGAATGACCACCAGCTGAGAGCATGAATTATGAATAGAATGGACCAGCAGTAGTCAATGGCTATTTGGAAAACAATGGAGTGGCAGTCACCAGTAAAGTAAAATTTAAAGTCAATAGGCTAGATCCTATGTAGATCAGACCAATTTATCTCAGTGTAATGTTAGCAGCTTCAGGGGAGTTACTCCTGATGTACACGGATGTAGATTAGAAGAAAACGAAGCCCTTTGCTTCAGAGAGTTGTTGTCAAAATAGCAATGGTGATGAGAATTCAGAAATTGATATTTGTCTTGCCTTCATTCAGCCAGTCCTTTAGTACAATGCGTTTCACTCAAAGTAACATGCCCTCACCCCCCCCCCCCCCCCCGCCCCAACCAGTGCTTTGGCTCTTTGATTCCAACTGCTTTGACCTTCTGAGATTGCTAGGCTGAAATTATACTGATTTGAAAAGATGATGAATTAGGCTAACCACATGTATCCTGTAGTTTCAATAACCAATTATCCATGAACAATTAAAGGGTAAAAGTTTTAATTAAAGGGTAAAAAGTGCTTCACACTTCTAAAATGACCTGGTATGTACAATACACGAAGAGGTAAAATGTTACTGCTGTAGTGACACTCTCTAATTTCCTCAGTAGCACAGTGGTCCTGTTGGAGGCCCGCTCTGTGTTCATCACACAGCCTAGTGAATGTTCAGTAAGGTTTCTTTGATATCAGTTGAGGTCTCTGTAGTCCTTCAGCTGATTTAAGGGGCCAGCTCCTCAGCTGTGGCTAAAGAACATAGCAGCTCAGGATGGGGATGGGAATGTAAAATGCACTTCCTCCATCCTGGGCTGGCTGTGCACTGGGCCAGTCCCTGGTGTTAGTTAGAACAGCTTGCAGGCTACTCATATGCTATGTTGGCTGCCTCTGGCCCCGGATCAGCCAGATTTGAAGAAGCCCTCTTCACACCCCTCATGCCAGCAGCACAGGAGCTGCTACCTCAGGTCTCTGTATTCTGAAGGTTCCTCTGTACTGGGATGATCTTCCTGTGGCTGATTATGATGGTTTTAGGGCCAGAATTCACCAGATATGCTTCCCAAAGCATCAGAGAACAGTGCAGAATCTGGGTGAATGCCTTTGTGCATGACATTCTCCTCAGCCAACCTCATCACATGCTACTTCTCAGCACAGCCCTCTCTGAGAATGTGTGGAAGCTATGAAAGGGCAATAAATGCTCAGCTCATCAGCATTATCCTATGTGCCATACTGATCTGTGAGTTAGAGCTGGTTTCTGTGGGCACATGGGGTGGCACGGGAATGGAGTTATAAAAAGACACGATATACAGAAAAACACTGGAAATACTCTCAAGATTTTTTTTTAAAGAACTTATGCTTTTAAAAAAGAAATTATACCACTATTATGCTTTTGAGAGATCAAAATTTTATGGGCCAGATTCTGGTCTCAAAGTGGTGTAAACTCCACTGAATGAGCTGAATTACTTCAGATTTACACTGGTGTAACTTATGTCAGAATTTGCTCCCGTTCCTTTTCTGTAATTCTTGTCTCTTCAGTATTGTCTCATCATCTCCTTATGCTCCCTACTGCCAGTTTTCAGCATCCACCCATTGTCTCTGGTCTTGCACTTGGACTGCAACCTCTTCAGGGCAGGGACTGCCTCTTTGTTATGTGCGTCTGCAGAGCCTAGAACAGTGGGGCGTAATCCATAACTGGGACCCTGAGGCACCATGGTAATACAAATAACAATGTACTGCAGAGAGCAATTTGTATTGTGTGTAGGGAACAGTCCTGCTATGACAGGGAAATGAACTTGGTTATTATCTAACAGGCCTTTTGTATATCTAATATTTATGAGTCTTTGATTCCAAAAATTGAGGTTAAGTCTTGATTAGAATCTGTCAATGTTGCACTGCTGATGGCAAACAGATTACAGGAAGTGGACATATGCAATATATTAATAGTGATATTAAAAAGCTACATTAAAAGAATGTTACAAAGTTGCAAAGTAAAACACTCAAAAGTTAGGAAATGCTAGAAATAAGGAGGCCCATGGAGGAGGTGCTAGATCTTCTCAATGAAATATTTGTAAGAATATTTTAACATAGGCAAACCAATGTATTTTTCCCCCTAACCTCATTCTGAGAAACAGCTGAACCTTTTTTGCTGAAATTTTCCAGAAAACATCAACTGGAGGCAAATACCCAGGATTGAAAATTTCAGCCCAAATTGTTAAAGTTTGCCAAACTTATAAGGAACTGAAAACAGGGTCTTATAATGGAAAGAGTTGGGCAACATTAGCTATAGGTGTCGCTACCTCCCTACAATAAATGTAATAACTTAGCATTTATTTATTAAGGGCCAGATCCAAATACCCTTACTCACACAGAGTAGTCTCTTTCTGCACAAGTAGTCTCACTGATTTTTAATAGAATTACTTGGGGAGTAAGGTACTACTGAGTGAGTCTCAGCATACCAGAATCTGCCCTAAACTAAGTCTTACATTGTCTTGGAAAGGCTATGATATAATTTTTGCCTATCTAGCATGTTCCTCCAACCAAGCTATGTACCATATATAATTGCTTTATTTTCTTTCCTCAGTATTATTGCGTGTGCCATGGGCATGAAACGTTATGTGGAGGCGAACATCTCTCTAAAGTCTCACACTACAATCAAATACTTTATGAAGATGTGGAGCAGTGTTAGTGATACCCTTATCTTCATCTTTCTTGGGGTCTCTACCATTGGAGACAACCATGAGTGGAGTTGGTCTTATATTTGCTTTACCGTCATTTTCTGTCTTATTTGGAGAGCGCTAGGTATGGTGAAAAAGCTGATTTTTCTTTGTGGGAATGAAATGTGCAATTTCGGAGTTTATTATGTGTCACATTTAAGTGTAGGAGGGGAGGGACTCTTTGAAAAGTACTGGTTGCCTAACATTCAAAATGTAATCTTTAATTCTAACTGCTGGTTCATTTAGTACTTCCCTTTGTATTTCTACCATGTTTCCAGTTCACTTTATCACATCCTTCAATGGAAAATGTGATTGACTCCCTTTGTTCGTGTACTGGTTAAGATAAACTGGTTCTTGAGCTAATGGGGGTGATCTTGTTGTTTTTGGAGCTGATCATCTTGAGCGTGAATCTTATTGTCTCTTCTTAATATGGTTGTAGGTCTTGGGTGCAGACTGATTCAGATGAGTGCCTCAGGATTGGCTTGGATTCCTGAGTACTCAGCTGTTCTAAAGTGTATTCAAGGGCAAATGCTGTCTTAACTGGAAGAAATAAGTCATGTATTGGCTTGGTTGCATGTGAATCATTGCCATTAGCTGGGAAGTTGGTGGACTGGATGTTATGTATAAGCAGTTCTCTCTGCTGGCTGAGCTAATGAGCTGTATTGTTAGCTGGAGAAGCAGAGGCCTGTGTTTTGCAGTGAAATGTGAATCCCCATGCGCATCTATGTAGCTGGGTGATCAATCCAGAGTCCTTATACACAATGTGTTGCCATCTCTTACAGTAGATGTGGGATGGACGTATTTTAAAACTACAGCAGTAACTGTACTTAAACCCAGGCCAGATTCTGCCTGGCCCTTATGTGGGTACAGTGGGCAGAAAGCATGTGAGAAACCCATCACCTGCTTGTTTGGTAACAAGAATTTCAGTTCCTGCACTGACAGTAGCACAGGAACTGCTCCCTCCTACTGCCCTGGGGCTTGCACTGTGCCCCAAAGAGGGCAGGGAGGATGGAGGTCCATGACTCCATCCATCTGTGCCCTGTCCAGCAGAACTGGCTACCTATGCAGGAGGAGCAAGCTGTATCCCATAAAGGGATGTGACATCTGGCACACAGGATCTCTCTGTCCTGGAACTCCTGGACCATTCTGCTTCCCTGTGGAAGAATGTCTTCCACTGAGATGGTATAGCGGTGCACTGCCCATTATTATGAGCTATGTCTCCAGTTGAGCCTAGAGATAGGAATCAGTTTGGCTTGCTTTCCTGAATAGATCTGAATGTCACCACGGAATAATAGTAAATGGCTAGTAGCATTGATACAAAATGTGAAATCTAGCAGGATGCAGCAGTTCTGAAGTCATTTCCTCCATGTCACCATCACTACAAAACACTTGACTTGTGGTGTATGAGCCATATATACCATAGGCCAGATTTCACCACCCGCACTCAGTGCTGGCTTCGCATTTTACTACTTTAGTTTTCAGTCAGTAAAATCCCTGTCAAACATGTTTGGAATAGTTCTACTGTGGAGACGAACTTCCTTGTTGTCCAGAAATATAGAGAAACAGATTTCTGCCCCAGTCCTCCAGTCTGACTGAGCGGTGTCAACTTTACATTCCTGCCCCTAATCCTGGGGCTACCTCAGTGTCCAACACAAGTTCAAGCACCCTCTGTGCTGCTCTAATTTATGTCAGGTAATTATGGCCCTTAAAGGCACTTACACCTGCTATAGATTGCTGGAATGCAGCAGCACTCTGGACATGCCCCTGTCCTTGTCAGCTTCCTGGTCTGCTCCCTGCACTGGGTATGTGATAACCAGGAATTTTCACCATATTTATTTGTTGGTATCTCTATTTTAGGTGCTTAGATAGACTCCACTGGTCTCACCTGCCCCCTCTTAGTGTATCTTTATAGTCCCTTGGTGGCTCCAGCGTGGAAGGCATGGAGTGTAGCTGGGGCTAGAAGCAGCAAAGAGCTTGGGGCCAGACAGCAGTGTAGCGGCACGTAGGGTTGCCCAGAATCTCCAGGAATGAAAGATTAATCTTTAATTAAAGGTTATGTCATGTGATGAAACCTCCAGGAATACATCCAACAAAAATTGGCAACCCGAGAGGCAAGGCATCTCCACATGGAGTCCCTAATGTACTCAGGTCTGAGGGGTAGAACCCCTGGCCTCTTCTGTGAGAAGCATTGCCCTTAAATGGGAAAATTGGAAGGAACCTGTGAGCTGATGTCCATGGAGTTTCTGTTCTTTTACACAGGTTTTTCCTGCATAGAAGAGCACTGGGGCCTTAAAATGGAGGCGGCCAGCAAAAATGTGAGAAGCCCAGGGTTTGGTAAAGTTTTGAGTTAGCATGTCTAAGAACATAAGCAACTGAGGGGAGCTGCAGTTACATCAAGATATTTTTTGCAGAGGATAATCCACACTCTCTGCAGCACAGGAGGGAAATGATATGAACCAAGACCTCTGCAGCTGTAAATTCTCCCATAGGAACAGCTAGGAAATGTTAATGGACAAATGGTATCCTTGAAACGGAACAAAACTGGAGATTAAACTAGGCTTCAGAGCCGGGCACTGCGATGTTCAGAATAAGATTCAGTGGGTAACAAATAGTGGATGAACACCTCCCCTGATGATCATGTGGAGGTCCCCATGATTACTTTTTCTCTCATCTTATATTTTTAAAGCAGAGGGCTAAACCTCTCCTTTACTCAGCAACCCTAGGATACTCCCAACCTTATTTTTTTAGGGATTCTTCCTTGCTGTCATAAAAATAAAGGATATAATATAAATATAAATAAATATTTTGGGGGAAGACGTCTCCAAGTGGGCTCTTTCCCTGTTCTTTGTTTAACACGCTTGGTGGTGGCAGCATACAGTTCAAGGAAAAGGCAGTTTGTACCTTGGGGAAGTTTTTAACCTAAGCTGGTAAGAATAAGCTTAGGGGGTCTTTCATGCAGGTCCCCACATCCGTACCCTAGAGTTCAGAGTGGGGAAGGAACCTTGACACTTGCCATAAAGGACACAACACATGCTCCTAGCCCAGAGTTTGGAGACATTATATAAACAAATACTATGCAAATATAGAGACTTAATATATAGCCTAGTATTGTGCCCTGTTGTTCTATGTCTTTGTTCTTCTTTCTTTACCTACCTGGGCACAGTGTATAGAGTGTTTTATATAGGAGAGATTTTCCCTCTCACTATGGCCACTCTTTGCTCCATAAAAGCCCCTTGGCCAGCAGTAGGAGAATTCCCCTCATGCAGTTATGGGAAACATAGGGTCCCTTGCCTGTCCCAGTATGTTGGGGTGCCCCATGCTACAGCAATTCTGAGCAGCTCTGACTGTCTGACTTAGAGCACTTCAGACACCTAAATAATGCTGGGGTCTCACCAGCCCAGAATTCTAATGAAGTAAATGTGGCTCAAAGCCTTAAAGTGAGGAAGTTTACACTGCCATTTACACTGGCCATTTACACTGGGCATTTCCTAAGCTGTAGCTAATAAGAGGACTTCCATTTGTGGATTTGTGAGTCAGGCACCTTTCACAACCACTTCAATTCATATAGATAGTTTGTTAGAGAAACAACACACCTTTTTTCATATAGAGCCATGACAGCTAGAACTCAGGCATGCTAGGTAAAGGTTAGCCATTTAAATGGGCAAGTTAAACAAGACCCAGGGCTAACTTGCTCTCCCTGTCACTAGCTTATAAACTCACACCTGAGAATACAGAGTCACTCATGGGTGGGGAGACCAAGACCAGGTTCTAAATGGGAGGGTAGGGATAGGCCCAAAATCCTTTTCTAACACACTTGGAGTTGAAAATGATCTTCTTAAATCCTGAAAAAAGGCTGTGCCCTAGATATTTGCTGGCTTTTACAGTAACCAGACAAAAACCAGACCACATGTAAGCAGGTGCAACCCCCAAAGACATTTTCCAGTGTTTGTAAATGGTCAGGAAAATGGGTGAAAGTAGTAAAGGAGTGTAACTTGCACTGATTTGACATTCAGGGAGCATGATTCTCCACTGCCCTGCACCACATGGAGTCACTGACATCTGTGCAAAGTCAAGGAGGGGTGTTTGACAACCACTTTGCACAGGTGGAAGGGACCCCACAATGGAGTGGAGAATCAGGCCTCTTGATACTGGGATTTAGTCCTGGAGCCCATATAGGCTGATCAGACAGCAAGTGTGAAAAATGGGGACGGGGGTGGGGGATAATAGGAAACTATATAAGAAAAAGCCCCAAATATTAGGACTGTCCCTATAAAATCGGGACATCTGGTCACCCTAAGCTTGTAGCTACCATGCAGTCTCTTTTCTCTTTTAGGGATGCTTTTTATAACTTTTAATCTTAAATTAAAGATGCTTTTAATCTTAAATTAATGTACAAAGTATTCACAAGCATAGCACATTTTTGAGAAGAAAGGTGGCACCTAGAATTTGTGAACGCTGCTTCGTAGGGTGTCTGTTTACAAACCACTAAAGCAACCAGAAATACCTTTGTGGTTAAAACTTGACCTGACCTTTAATAGGCTCATCAACAGATTACTTAAATTGGATACTCAGTGATTATCAACAAGACATGGCAGGATGTGCTTTATTGGCTATTAATACATGACTAGATTTGCTGTTAATGACTGAGTGCCATAAATGCACCTGGAAGCACATTTATTGGTCAATTATGCACATCCTTGAGTGTTTTACTATGAGAAAATGGTTTCCTTTGTTTAAAATGTTTGTTTTCAATGAAATGAAGAAAGCATTCTGAATTATTTGGACTCCCCTTGTTTGAAAACAGCTCATGGCAGGAGGGTGACAAACAATGACAGTAACAAACATTAAAGTACCTAACAAACTGCTCTGGTGTTCCAAGAATAGGCAGTAAACCTCAAATTCTCTATTTACTTATCACATGACCGGAAACGGTTTAATATTGTAAACAGAAAGAGCAAAGAAGAGATGACACCAAAATCAGCCCTGTAATAATTAGGTGCAATTCCCATTGACTTCAAAGGGCGCCAGGCCAACATTCATGCAGGGTTGAATTTCATTAAACATTTTGGTCTCTGGCTCACCTATTTACAATATTTAGGGTATGTTTGTTGGAGCTAAGGGTGCAATTCCCAGCTCAAGGAGACATACTCACACTAGCTCTCATCAAGCTACCATGCTAAAAATAGTAGTGTAGCCATGGTAACTCGGGCAGGGGTTGGGCTAGCACCCCCAAGTGCATACCCATGGGGGCCTGGTGGGTTTGTACTTGGGGTGGCAAGCCCCTCTTGCTACTTACCACTACTCATGTTTCTTTTCTTTTCTCTAAGAACGTTTGTAGCTGGGTTTTTTTGGCAACCTGAAGACCTTAAACCTGAGAATAAAGCTCTTGTGAAAAGGTCTTTCTGGCGAGAAGTTTTTGATCTGATTGGACCAGCTGGGCCCTCTCCACCAGGTTCCAGGTCCCCATCCCACTTGTAGAGCCTCTCTGATTCTCTCGCTGATGCTGCACTAAATCAGCAATAACTCTACTGAAGCCAGCAGAGTAGAGTCACACTGGCATAAGTTGGAGGAGGTCTGAAAAGTGAAGAAAAATGAAGCAGTTGAGAGGGTGATAGCAGCCCCCAGGACGCCAATATTTTGCCATTCTTTAAACAAGTTAGAATTTTCTGCTCTCAGTTTGTTATGGTGCTTCTCCAAAAGGAGAAATATTTTGGCCCAAATAGTTAATCATATGCTACGTCTTCAACCAAACAGACCCTGAGTTAATTTAAGGGACATCAATGATAATTGACTGTATGACTGGAAAATGTATTTATTACTAACCAATCCTACTTAAAATTAATTTGAGTGTGAATTACTGGCTGCGTTTGGCTCTGGTCTAGTTGTGAAATAAGTTTCTATGTAGCATTTTTTCAAACTAAAAGTATTATTGTCAGTTAGATAGAACATTAAAAATGAAAACTGGAGTCCTTGTCATTATCTACTCCTCTTGGCCTTAATTCCCAGGTGCTCCGGGAGCTGGGAATACATCATGGACACAGTTCCAGTTAATCATGTTCGCTATTCCTGAATATTCCAAGATTTCTTGTTTTCTCCAAATTGTTCCTCTGTGTGATAGAAATTGGTTATTGCTAGTTATCAGAGCGTGTGGGGAGGTGTTTGTATATTGTTGTTTTTAAAGTTTATTTCCCAACAAATAAGATGGATGATGTCTTTAAAACATTTTAAAAAAAAGCTGTAGTGATGTGAGGGGGCAGGGGAGAGAATTAATGACCCTCTTATGTTATCAGCTCTCAAACCAGCCATTAATCTTGAAGATTAATCTTCAAGAAATGAAATGTCCAGGTTCTCTGTTGTTATTGCTTAATTATACTCACTGTTTAGCAGTTAAGGGCCTGATTCTGATCTCATTTGTACAGGTTCCATTGGTGTAAATGGAGTAAGGCCTGATTCACACAGCGTGATGTTAATGAAGTCAGAATCAGGCCCTAGAAGTTCAGAGCCATGTACATGTTTCTTTCTCAGTTTCTGTAACAGGGATATTGTCATTAATAGACCCACAGTTTGACCAACTGTAACTTTTTTCTTCTGTTTAATTGCAAATGATTATAAATTGCATCAATTGCTGTGGCACCTTTCATAAACTTCAAGTTCACATAGTATTAATCTCGATGAATTAGAGACTGCCAAATACCCCAGTTTAAGGTAATTTTTATATATATATATATATATATATATATATATAATATTTCATGTGCCCTGGCTGTTGGTTAAAACTAAATGCAGTTCAAAAGGTAACTGTAACTAAATTATTTAAATAAACCAGATTGCCAGTTTGCCCTTGAGAGAGTATTTATCACCCAGAAAATCCAATAATTAATTACCAATCAGAATGAATCAACTACTGTTTAAGTCAATTCCCAGGGTCAATTTCCACATTAGTATATTGATGAATATGAATTCTTGGACCTGTTCATTACTGTTAATATGAAACAAAGTGACTTTTAAAATATTTTTTTAAACTGCCATCAAAACAAATATGTTAATACACTGTATTGTACTATAATAGTTATTATTTATTAAATACTCAGTTAATACTTAGCTCTTATTCACTAACCTAATTTGTATATTTCAGGAACACCTCAGTGATGGCTATGTACATAAACTAAAACTCTGGGTAAAACCTCATTCTTGTTCTAAAAGGAACCCCAGTTTTAAGAGTAGATCCTGACATCACACAAGGTTGACAGTATCCAACAACGGATATTACCAAAAGATCAGTCTAATGTCTTATATATATGAGACCTACCAAACCATGGCCATTCAACACTATTTCCTATCTCCTCCAAGTCAGACATAACTGGGTCTGGATTCTTAGCTATTCTGGGGCTAGTACCAGACAGATAGAAACCCAGTGGATCTGGCCAGTGGAGGAGCGTAGTATATTACCAAATTCTTCCCTGCCCTATTCTTACTTATGTGTAATTTGTTCACAAATGTAATAGCCACTTCTTTCAAGCTGTTTCCTGCCATTATGAATGCTGTATAAGTTCTCTTCTTGCTTGCTAATTTCCCATCTTCTTTCCTGCTTTAATAGGGGTTCTTGTATTGACTTTCTTCGTGAACCGATTACATGTGAACACCGTTACCAGCAAGGATCAGTTTATTATAGCATATGGGGGTCTTAGAGGTGCCATCTGTTTCTCTCTGGTTTTCTTGCTCCCTGACTTCCCGAGAAAGAAGCTCTTCATTGCAGCCACAACTGTAGTTATTCTCTTCACTGTGTTTGTACAGGTAAGAATACTATCAATATGATAGAATGCCTACATCAGTCCAATTATTGCACAGTGCATGACAGTGTTTTTGTTTCAGATACATGGCTGATACTGACACTTTAGATTTAGTGTGGACTCTAATTGGACAAAAGAATTGAACATAAAGCTATCAGACCTTTCCTTGTATCAGGCATACGGAGGTTAGAATTCTTACTGAATGAGGTAGGAGTTGGGAGAATGTGTCTTATATTTGTGGTTGACAACAGTTGCTGAGTACCACTGTTAGGCCTTGTCTACGTGAGTCTTTTCCATGTTGACAAATTCCATCTTTGCACTGGTGTAGCTCTACCAGGGGTAATAATGATGAAAAGGTTAGTAGGAAAAAGCTAATGTAGATATGCCTTTAAAGCGAGGCCCTTAGGTATTTTACCAAGGAGCAGAATGAGCACCAAAGTAAAATACACTCTAGGATTTGATACCCGATTAAGGAGAAAAACAGGTGTTATGTTGGGTATTGTCACAGAGTTGCCATCTCAGAGCACCCCCTCCTGGCATGGGATGACCCTGCAGGAGCTTTTACCTCAGTTTCCTCTTCTCAGGGCTCCTCAAGAATACTTCTCAAACATACTCTGGACTATGAGATGGGTTAATTTATTAATATCAAATCACAAAATAAACATCAGTGCCATAACTCAAAAGGTTCTGGCTTCATTGTCTTTGGTGATCTGAGGCTCTTTGTCAGTCTCAGTTTTGCTTTAGGCTGGAGGGCTCTCATGCTTACCCCCTGGAGTCCCCCACTAGAGTTCAAAAGCTCAAATGAAGCAATAACACAAACACCATCCATCCAACCTGGGCTTAATAAAAGCCTCACATTCCTCTTGGGCTTTTCCCAATTCCCTGCTTGTTGCAGGGCCGGATTAACCTTTTGTGAGCCTGGCGCTAAACATTTGTTGGGCCCCCATGGGAGCAATTGAGCGTGATGTGGGGAGAATGGTCTCCGGAGCCAGGGGCTGACCAGGGGCCTGGCATGACAGGGGTGGCCCCACTCCGCCGAGCCCAGTGCGGGGGCACTATTTATAAACCGGCAGTTGCCAGATGTACAATGGCCTGCCCAGTCCTGTGCTGCCAGCATGTCCCTTCCCCTCAGGGGTGGGCCCATGCCACGCCACACATCCCCCCTGCCCAACACCGGAACACCCCCTCCGATTCCCTATGGCGAGAGCCCCCGGCCTCGCTATGCCCAGAGCCCCCATCCACCACAAATGCACAGTGCCCTGCACACCACCACCCCTGCCCAGCACCCCCCTGCCCACAGCCCCACCACAACTGCCCAGCATCCCACACAGAACCCCCACTCCCGAGTGCCTCAACACAGAGATTTTTCCTGCTTTCTCACAGCCCACCCCTACCCACACCCTCCAGAGACCCACTCCCACACGCCCTGCCTCCCGGCTGCACTCACCGGCCCTCTGGGAGGTGACTGTGTCTGCCAGGCTGAGCTACCAGTGCAGCCAGGGCATGGAATCACTCCAGCCCCTTGGGAGTGCCGCGATCAGCCAGGCCAGGGCCTGCCCTGGCTGGGCTCCCTCAGAACCCACTTGCCTGGAGGGGCCCAGCCAAGCCCTCCACACTGCCCGCCCCCCTTAACTGGCCAAGACTGGCCAGGCTTCTGCAAAAGTCCCAGGCGGCTCAGCTCCAGGGAGACAGGTGGAGCCCCACACGTGATGAGAAGCAGAGACTTCCCGGAGCTGGAGGAGCACTGGGGTCTGGCCAGGAGGCAGAGAGAAGCCGGTGGGTGGGGCCAGGGGGTGGCGAAGAGCCCTTGGCCAGTCGGTGGGGAGGACGAGAGGAGCAAGTGGTGGGCGGGGGAGGAGAGCCAATGGGCTCCCAGGGTTTCAGGGCGCAGTGCAAACAGAGCAGGCCGGGGCCCCTTCTGAGCATGGGCCCAGTTCCATGGCGCCACTGGACAGGGGCCACAGGGGCACTTCCCAGCGCTCCCTCTTGCTCCAGCGGCTCCTCCCATTCCCCAGGCCATCCAGCTAGTGGCCTGTCTCCCTATTCTCATGGAGCACCTGCAGAGCTTTCTGCTCTCTGCATTCATTCTCTCAGGCAGCGAAAGCCCCACCTCTGCTCTCTCTGCCCTGACTCACCCAGACTCCTCTGCTCTAGGGCCCAGGTGCCCTCTCTTAAGCCATCTGAGCATCAGCTGACCGTCACAGGTGCACTAGCCTCTTCCCTCTTAAAAGGTCAGTGCTGTCCTGTGACAGGCATATTTGGATTTGTAGTAAGATGGAACTTTAGTTAAACCCTCCTCCAGACAAGGTCAATTCTCACTACACCAGGGGAGAGAACAAAGGAACGGAAGCATTCTAAATCCACTTAACACTAAGGGCAAGATTTTTAAAAGTAACTAATGATTTTGAACATCTCAGTTTTTGGCATGAGACAACTTAAAGGGGCCTGATTTTGAGTGGGTGGTACTGATTTTGAGAGGCTCAGTACCTTCTGAAAATCAGGTCTCTTTATGATACACACAACAACTGGGGCAATCAAAATCCCTAGTCACTGGAAAATCTTGGCTTTAGTATATATGTCAGAGATAGCTTCACATACATACAAAAAGGGAGGTGTTAGCACTTTATGATGTTTCACTGAAAGAAGGCCCTGCCTTTGTGATAACTTTAAATTGCCATATTGTCTTGCATTGAAAAAGGATTGGGGTGTGTAGCCAGTTAGATAACTAAGAAAAATCAGACACAAACAAAATAATGGTTCATTATAGTCCAGTTCATGGAAAGAGTGGATTTTTAAGGGGTTTATTATTCCTCAAGAATAATATGACAAATAAGATGATACCACACACGTTAGCCAAATGCTCTTGTCTTACAGCCCAAGGTGGCTCGAATATATTATCTTACTAGTAAGATAAAAAGATCGAAACTTTGCCAACAAAGCTGAGTTTGGAAGAATTCTGACTTTATCTAGATGTTTTGTAATGATAAGAAATGGAATTATGAAAAAGGATCCAGTGAGCTAACAGCACAATTGTTAATCTCTGTATCTCACAAATGATGTAATTTTTCATAGATGCTTCTGATTAAGGTTCAAAATTTGTTTCCATGTTTACTTAAAGTGAGGTAAATTAGAGAATCTGCCACTAGTTGCCATGCACTGAAGTTAGTCCTGCTTCTGTTCCTCCGAATCTGTGGATATCTGCTTTATAGCTGTGGATATCTGCATTTGCGGACCATGTTTGTGGATCGTGGATGGATGCAGATCCAAATTTTATATCTAGAGCTCTGCAAATCTGTGGATATCCGCGTACCTTGTTTGCGGATTGCGGATCGGATGCAGATACAAATTTTGTATCCAGACAGGGCTCTACCTATTTAAATCAATGGAGGTTTTGTTATAGACTGGAATAGAATGGGGATCGGGTCCCTAGAATTTTAAGAGTAATTAAATGGCCCTTCTGTTAAACAGGGGTGCTGGAACAATTTGTATAGTATATATTGGTAAAGTCTGTAAATAGTGAAAACCATTTCAAGCCAGGGAGTGTGGCAGCACTCCCCATACCCCAAGTTCCAGCACGTATGCTGTTAAATGATATAATTTTACATTGGGATTCTAATGGCAATCTTTTTTAAAATGTTAGTTTCAAAATACTTCTATCTATATGAAATTTCTTGCTTATATAATTCTGTTTCAATATATGTTGGTCTCTCTTTTTTACAATGTCCCACTTTTATTTTAAAATGATGACTAATTCCCCTTTCTTATATGTAAATGAAGGTGAAAGATTTCCCATCATTTTAGTGTATGCTAATACTGAAGGTCATTAAGACCTACTTTGATTGTGGGGTCCGTTTATAACTTGTGTGCTTCCCTTTAAGGAAAAATGAACATCTCTTGGCATTCAAGTGCCATCTAGTGGTTAAAATATTGCTAGACACTTTTAGTTTGCTAACGATTTTGGCCCTGATTCTCTGCTGTCCTGCACCCTGTGTTGTCATCATGCTGCAGCAGCAGTGACTCCATGGTTGCATCAAGGTTCCTGATTAAAGCCCGGATTTCATACCTCCCTAAAATGCACTTGCACAGTTAGTTCATCTTGAAAACTGGTATGTCAGGTCAGGGCCCAAGCTGAGTTTGTGGTACAAATTTGGGATTATCTGGTCAGGGAATTCCCAAAACTGTCCTGTTTTTAAAAGTACAGGGTTAGGTTTAGGGCCTTTATTTCCGCGTAACTGCTTGTGGGAAGCACATGGTGCTGATATTCTTGTTTCCTGGAAAGAACATAGCCTTATCTTCTCACTTTCCCCTGTTCCACTGGTAGAGTTGGATGAGCAAAGCAGCACAGTAGATCCCAGGGCAGTTCTGCTGCATGTATCTATATGGGGCAAGATTCAAAAGGTCAGTGAAAGGGGTGGCACCATTTAACACAGCTCCATGGGGGTTTCTTGCACCTGTGTGCACAAGCTCCATACAGATTCACCAATCCAATGGCTGCCCTCCTCCCCGCACCCACGTCCCATCCTGTAGAGGGTGTGAAGCAGCTGTTGAGGCTTCAGAAGCCACATTTAGAGATGCACAGTGGCTTCACTGCTGATCCACACCCAGTGGGAGAGAATTTCTTCCACATGTACCCCAGCACACTGCTCATGCTCAGGCTGCATACGAGGTAAAGATTCACACTGGTATGTTTTACAATTAACCCCACACAGCAAAGCTTCTGTGCCTCCTCATATTTGATACGATCAATTGGGCAAAACCAGTAATGATCTTGATATACCAATGTGACTGGGCCTGGAGTTGAGTCAGACAGGCAGCCAGATCTCTATTGTGGAACATAATTTTCAATCCTATCTGGCAGACTGAATGGAGTGAGTGGAGGCCGGGGGTGGGAAAAGGGGAATTGGGTTTAGGTTGACAAGTTTTAAGATGCAAATGTGGGTGAGAAATTGAAAAGATCTGGTCACTTGGCAGGACTGCTCCTGCAGAGGGACTGAGTCCCTGACAAAGGTTGCTCTAAGGCAGCGGTTCCATTCCGCAGAAGCTTCGTAAAATAATTCTCAGGATAGTGGAAGGGCTTTTGTGTAACCTCAGAGCTCAAATGGTGATGTCATCTCCATGAAAAGGGTGGGACTCCCCTGTGGGTATGTGTCAATAGAATGACCCTTTGACCTTGAGTCATTCAGCAGAAACTTAGTATTCATGAAGACTAGCTTGATTCAGATTCTTGGTACCTGTGGCATCATGTAGCAGAGACAGCCAAAAGAATCAGAAACATTTAAACTTGCTTAGAGAAACAACAACCTTGACATGCCCCAGCATAGAAAAAAATATAAAAACGATAGATCAGATATTAAAGAAAACCTTTTAAAAACCACCGAGTGTAAATTGATCCCATACCCTATGAAGTCAATGGGAGTGTTACCAGTTACACCAGTGGATGCAGAACTGGGCCTGGAATGATTACTTCAGTGTCCCAGCATTCTTCATAATGCATTTCACCTTGGATGGAAGGGGGAAGAAAGAAATGATTTGTTAAAAAATAACATTCACGGTGCTGTTGTTTTTAAAGCTTTTTCTTTATTGATGTACGTCAGCAGCTTGTATTAATAATGGTGCAAATCCTGACCTCAGGGAGAGCTTTTGTGTGACTAAAGACTGAGTAAAAATGGCAGGGCATAGTGTAGTTGGTCTTGATGCTGGTGCAGAGGGGTAAAGGGATGTGCAAGGAATCTTGAGGGAACACAAACTGCTTCTTTCTCTTGGAAAGCCCCAGCTGATTATCTGGCAATGCTTTTACTCGACCCAAAACATTATATGTAAGCAGTTAGGTGTGGCCATGCATGGTTATAGCCATGCAGTATATAACCCAGTCATAATGTCTATTTTGGTCTGTCTGAACCTGTGGCAAGTGCATCCTCATCATTCCTAAATTTACACAGCAGGACTGATCAGTAATTTTGTGAAGTTTTTTGGGCAATTGAAAGATGCTCGGTGCTCCCAGACTGGCCTGATGTATGCCATTTGCACCATAAAGTCCTCAAAAGAGCCTTTGGTTTGTCCTGAATGCCACAAAGGAGCTTCACTGTTTTTTCTCTCAATGTCATTTAAAAACTAAATGCCATGTTCTCCATTTATAGTTCACTCTCTCTGCCTATTCAGACCGTGACTTCCCTGGTGAAATTGCTAAGGAGGAACTGTTAAATTGTGAAGGTTTTTGTTTTGTTTTTTTTGTGTGATGTGGACACTTGTCCACTAGCAACTGGATTGACACCAGTAATACATTTCGCACAGGTTATATACAGCCATCAATCTGTACGAAGGCCATGATCCAGCAAGTTTATCCATGTGGCTGCAGGAGTCTCCCTCCCCTCAGCCCCCCCGCCAGAACTCTGTTGAAGTCAATGGGGCTCTGCACAAGCACAGGGGCCTGCTCGTATAAAACAACACTCAGGAGCAGAGCCATAGAAATCTCTTTCTGTGTATGTGAGAAGTTGGGAGTCGTGGTCACAGAACTCAGTACTGTCAGTTTAAAATGAAAACAAACCCAGCTGATTATCCAGCAAAAGACAAGAGGCCAAATTACATAGGCGCTGCTTAATCTGCAATCTGTGTTATTTCTAAATTTGTAAGATTTATATTATTTACACTGAATGTTGATGAATTCTGTATTGACATTAGTGGTTAAAATGACACATTAATTGTTCTTGCAATTAAAGCTGTCCTCCGTGCCAACTCTTGTGACATTCAAGAGAGCATCAGCGACTGTATCATTTCTGCTGCAGGCATAGCATAGGAAAGCCATTTTTTAAAGTGGGAAACTTAAGAGATATAATGGATTGTAATCACAGCAGAACATCAGAATTTCTCATTCATGAGGCCATGGAAAGATTTTTTAAAAACTTTTTTCCTCCTCCCTCACCAGTTAGAGTCATAGATAAATCACAGATGCTGACAGTAAAGATTAATAACAGATGACACAGTAAATCAAAAAGTTAACGAACCCAGGACCCTCTTCACAACAGGCAAACACTTAGCTTGGCTCTGCAGGATGTGGAGTCCCTCCTGCAAAGTGCTCAGCACTGTCATCTGTTAACCTGTTTAAATTTTGACTAGACCTCTTTCTGCAAGACATGCTAGTGCTCACATGGAAGTTTTAGGCTTTACAGCTGCATGAAATTTGTCATAGGAATACTTTATTCACCAAAACAGGAAGTTTCAGGGTGACCAAAACTTTTTAATGGATTTAGGTTGAATTTGGCAAATAGTTTTGGCTGAATGAAAAATGAAAAAATGCATTGTATTTTTTAAATCACAATGAACTGTTTTGACATTTTTGAAATATCATGCTTTGATTGTTCATTTGGAAATGACATTTTCTTTCTAAATTTAGCTAGATTTGTTTGAATTATTTGCAAAGGGTACAAAAAAACCCACCTGAAAATGTAACATAGTAGAATGAAAAAAAAAAATTTTTGGATCAAACGAAATATTTTGTTTATCCTGAAATGTGTTTAAAAAATTCTTTAGGTGAGAAAAAAATTAAAAAAATCAGTTTCAATTAGACTCTAAATGTTCCCCCCCCCCCCCTCCCGATTTTTTCAGTTTGGCCACCAAACTGAAAAAATCAATTAATTGTGGCTTTTTAATAGACTTGAGGCAGAAATTACTGGGTGAGGTTCTGTGACCTGTATAATGCAAGAGGAAATGCAGGTCCCTTTGGCCTTAAAATCTATGAATATGTGACAGGACTGGAATCGTTAACATAGCTTGTCTGTTGGTAAATAAAGTTTTTGGGCTGCAAACAGGTACAGAGTTTTTCACAGGCAGTGGCTTCACATATTGAAAAGAGCAAAAGAGCTGAGGAGAGAGACTGGCCCAAAGAACTCTTCTCCCTGGAAACAAGTCAGGATTCAGTGCCGCGGGAACTGCGTTGCTATGCTAATTTTGTGTTGACGTGGGTGATGCTGTTCAACAGCAAATTTTCAGCACAGGATAAAAGATATATAACTAGAAAACGTGCTGGTCCTTTGAAAAGTTGCTGTGTTGTGAAGAAAGCCTGATTTGTGTGTGTGTCATTATGCTGCAGGGAATGACCATCCGTCCTCTCGTTGACTTATTAGATGTGAAGAGAAAAAGAGAAAGTGCGCCCACAGTGGGAGAACAGATTCACATCCGGGTAAGTGGCTCAGCAATTTATGCCTAGCCAAAGGGTGGGTGTGATTGCAGCATTTCAATTTGGTTTGCTAATAGGCCCTGATCCTGCCAAGCAAATTGGCTGGGAGGACCCTTCGGCCCTTGCAGAGTCCTATTTAGTTCAGCGGGGGTTTCTGAATGCAGATTCCTTTCAGGCTCAGGGTCATATGAAGGTAGTAAGCTCTGCTATTCTTTATTTGTATTGCAGTAGCACACAGGGACCTGATCAGGGTGCCATTGTGCTAGATGCTATACCTTCCCCAAAGAGTTTACAGTCTAACCTAACCTGGTCCTTTCCGCCTGTCTGGAAGGGATCAAGGAGGCAATGGGGGGAGGGGGCGCTTTCCTAATTGGGGAATGACCCGGCATTGGTGCCCTGTGCACCAGGCACTAGCCCCAGCTCTGGACCTAGTGGTAAGAAGTTAGCATATAGGCTTAGTTGTAGCTCTGTTTTTTGTGTTTCTGTGGGGGTTCTGGCTGGCCACTAATAATCACCACATGCTAGAAGGACACCCTGCAAAAGAAAAGAGCTGACACCAAAGGAAAACACAGCCCCAGACGTGGTCAGAGCTCTGAGTTGCGGGGACTGGCTGGGACATGATAGCAAGTCGAGTGGTAATGTATATGGATATATTCATATACATGGCAATTACATCTCTCAGCTTCGATCCCTCAGCAGCAGCCTGCTCCAAAGCCCACTGAAGTCATTGAAAAGACTCTCATTTGATTCATGCCACAGAAGTAAGAGCAATTAATCCTATTCTTGGGATGAAGATACTCCTGACACAAAGAAGGGCTCCTGTGTAGTAATTTTCCATGTCCAGCATTTGTTGTAAGTCAGCTTTAGCCCACATAAGCACAAATATTCACCCCCCCACACAAAAATATACATTGGAAATGCCCACTTTAAAGGCTTTGCAAACATAGGCTGGGCAGAGGCTGAGAAGTCCCTTCACCTGGTTTATGCAGAACAGCTACCACGCTGTTTGCTGCCCTGCTTGTGTGCACAGGTTCTGCACAAATAGCCCGCAAAGAGTTGTCACGTGAGCCCCAGAGCAAGGCCGGGCCCCGAGGAAGTGGTAAATCTAATTGGATGTTAATTTGTAGCTTCAAATTGCAAGGGATTATCACACTCGAAAAACCAAATGTACATTGTTTCCCTAACACAGCAGTACAGAGTTCTAAACTAATTTAATTTGGTGGACTTGGCTCACTTCCTATTTGAGGTTAAGTATCAGCCATTTCTATGAGCCTTTATGTAATTGGAAAACTTTATTTAGTGTGTTTCAGCACTGGTAGATCTGAGTTGGTGTAATATTAACAGTTTCTAAAATGTGAGAGGTGAAAGCACTACAATTATAAAGATAACCTCCCTGAGGTCACTTTTAAACAGCTACACGAACAAGAGAGGAAACAGGCACAGAGAGGCTAAGAGACTTGCTCATAGTCAAGCAGCAGATCAGTGGCAGAGTCCTCAGTAGATCCCATAAGTTTACATTCCCTGGACAGTTCCTTTATCTACTGCATCTAGGACAAAATGGGATACATCCTCAGCTGTGACAAATTTCAGCTCAGAGCAGCTGTAGGGAATGGGGAGGACACTATGGTGGCTTTACACTTGGCCCAATCTCAGGGCTGGTCTAAGTTCCCATGTGGTTGTTATGCCAGCTGGGGATTGCTCGAATGAAGTGTGCTTTGGACAAGCTCCCAACTACCTTTGATATGCCCTCACACTAAGGGGCCAGGTAGGGGTGATGTAGAACTGGCTACACCAGCTACTCGGACAGAGGATTCCAGCATGCCAAGGGACTGCTCAGCTGCCCATTTAGCATAGTTTAGAGTACCTTTGTACCACTGCAACAGCCAGAGAGTCTGCAGTGTGGACCAGAATCTAGCGCACTGTGTCCTACATATCACAACAAATAGGATGTTTAAACATCATTTGGAATCTAGTCCATTTAAAAACCTGAGTCGGTAGCAATTCCAGGTAGTACCCTTGTTTCTGAGTCTCACTGCCAATACTGATGGTATTACAAACACAAATGAAACAAATAGGGGAATTGGTATACAAGGAAAACAGCTCATGAAAGTACACAAAATGCTGCCAAACTCGCCCATGAAACAAACTGGAGAGGCTTTGTTTTTCTCTCTGGTCATGGCAGTGGGATATTTTACTAGGCAGTGTCCTTGAAGCATTTTGTCAAAGGTAAAGTATTAGTTATGAATAGAATTTTTTTATGGCAAAGCATTTTTACCTGAGTACTAATTCCTAAGGAATATTTCTTTTCTCTTTTTGACAACAACAACAACAACAACAAATAAAATGAAAACACAGGTGTTTGCTCTGAAAGCACTTGTAGGAAACAGGCTTGGCATTTTCCCAATTAGTATGTATTACAGAGCTTTGTCTAAGGTTAATGGAACAGTTCAATAGGCTGAAGAGGCTTTTCCTATAGCAAACAGGAACCACTTCCTTCTTTTGTTAGAGCATGAATGGTAAATCATCTCTAAAGATGTGTTTATTGGGTAATGTGAGCTGAAAATAGCTATGTGCTAATTAAGTAGACACGGTAACGATACAGGTAGCTAGAAAGCAGGCACTGAGGAACCCAGAGGAAGCTTTCTTCCTTTAATTTATTTCTTAAGAGGGGATAATTGTAATGCTCTGCCTGGGATCCCTTTTTACCATTTTGACTGAAAGACACAATTTAGGATTTTTAAAACGAAATATTTGCAGTGTTAGTGTTATAACAAGCGGGCCTAATTCTGCAGTCCTTAGACAGCCTGAACTTTTGCATGCAAGAATGGAAATGGATACCCATAAATATGAGTAGATGTGCCGATCTGCTGCCTTGGTGGATCAGTGACCGCTCTGTGACAGTGGCTCCGAGTGAACTTCACTCCATCAGCAATGGTGATGCACAGTCACAAATGGAGAGCTTCCTATTCCTGCCTTGCTGGCTTGGCCTGGCTGCCCCGGCATCTTCCCATTGTTCACCTTTTTCACTAAAAGCTTCCCCTGCAAGCTGTCCACCCTTCATGTTGCAGCATGCTCTCCCCCACCTCCACTTTTCCTTCCCCACCAATCCCTATTTCTTGCTGTTTCCTAGCTGCCAGCTCTCCCTAGTTCTAACTCCCCACAGGCCAGCACCCTTTGAGAAAGAACTGCCACTCCCTCTTGACAGCCTGCCCACTCCTCCCCTCCCAACACCTTTCTAGCCAATGTACAGAATGTCTTGTAGCCACCCTACACTGGGGATCAGTTGCCTGTCAGCACCATACTGCTGGTGCTGTACAAATAATAATAATTAATACCTTCCTGTTAATGATTCTGGCTTCTGATCCTTGCTGATCTGAAGGCAGAAAGTGTAAAGACGGGCCAGAGATGTAGTATCTGTTGACATCCCCTAAGATATAATGGGTATATGATTCACCCAATTCACTTACTTATCCAAAAATCCTGGAGGGAGGTGTTATACCAATAAAATAAAAACCAGCAGGATCTTATTAAAGGGGAAAAGGCAAAATGTCACATTTATTGTGAATACAGAAAGAATCATAGTAAGCAGTTAGTTATAGCTATAACATTCCATTCAATTTCATATTTATTCACATATTCATTCACACACACAGGTTCTGCAAGGTTGTTATCATAGTTACCAGCCTTAGAGTTGCTCATGCCAAGCCACTGGCCAGGTGGCCTGGACATGAGGAGGGAGCAGGGCCTTGTCAGATGCTCATCTGATGCTCCTGGAAGTTGGTTTGCAGAATCAGACCCTGAAGTTCTCACTTTCTAGAATCCATTTTTATAGGAATTTCTTCCTATGCCAGTCTATGGGAATTGCTTCATCATGCTGTTGCTGAATCAATCAGCAGATAGCACACTCCTCACGGCTCCGTGCTGCCAGATGTTATCTTGTTCTTTGGTTCTCCCATTCTTGAGGCTGTTGGGTGGATTCCAGTCTGCCCCCAAAGGTCCTCTGGTTATTTCCACTTGACGCCTTCTTCAGCCGTTGGACACTGGATTCTTAGGCTGGCACCTCCCTGATCATTCAGTTATTATCCACATCAAGCATCCATCCATATACATCCTCTATCTCTATTTTAATCACAATTGTTAACAAAGCGAGATGAATACAACAAAAGGGCGGGGAGTCTTTGGGGGCTGTTTCTGTTGTTACAGAGTATTGCTTTGAGTCTCTCTCTGTGTGAGTAGTTGTTACAGAGAATTGCTTTGAGAACAGACTCTGTCTTAGAATGTACTAACACAATTAGCAGCTTGCAAGTATCACACATAGAGGGAGAGAAACAGTACCGAAAACCAAGAGACCTCTTAATTAGTAATACCCTGGAATTTAAACTATGGGGAATCAAACTCATTTGTGATTTTAATACAGAACTTCTTTAATATGATCCAACAGAGGTGGAGTTGGGTATTTGTTACTCAAACTAAACTCAGCCTGGGAGACCAAGTATTGTCTCGTTAGCATTGACTACCACTAGCTAAAGGGAAAAATGAAGCCCTATAAATGTAATAGGAGAGAAATGAAAAGGAAAACTTCTGTGGCATCAAATGTCATGGACTCCCACTCCCAAACCACCTTTTAAAGGTCCTGGTTTGATGGGCAAAAAAAGTGTGCCTCTCAGGTGTGTTAGCTCAGTTGAGTTAGTTTAATGTGACAGGGTTTGTCTAGAATTACCAGGGGATTGAAGTACGGTGCTTGATCCACTGACTGTGGATATAGCAGGTCTAGTGAAAACCTGCTAAATTGACCGCCGATCGTTCTCTCATGACTCCAGTACTCCACCTGACCGAGAAGATATAAGGTAAGTCGACGGAGGGTTTCTCCCGTCTACCCAGTGTGGTGTAGACACCGCAGCAAGTCTACCTAAGGTATGTCAACTCCAGCTATGTCAGTGGCCCATCAGGGTAATCTAATTGCGGACTGCAAGACATTTTGCTGACATTGACCGCCCACAGGCATGGCCCCCCACTACTCCCAGTGGCTGTGATTCACCATTCCTGGTCAATGGGAGCTGCGGGAAGCGGCGGGCTGCGGGGACATGCTGTCTGCCGCTTCCCACAGCTCTCATTGGCTGGGAACAAAGAACCTGTCTGCGGATGGTCAACGTGAGCAAAACATCTTGTGGCCTCCAATCAGATTACCCTGATGGGCCTCATGCGCCCCGTGGGTTGCAGATTGCCCACCATTGAACTACGTTATTCACGTAGCTGGAATTGTGTAACTTAGGTCAACTTAGCTCTGTAGTGTAGACCTGCGCTGAGAAGCCCCTGCGCTGAGAAGCCCCAGTAAGGTGCAGTCTGACACATCTGAAGCCATGTTAGGTTGCTGTGTTGTAGCCTCAGGGGAAGTCAAAGATTGGAGGAGGCTGGTTTAGCGAGCACTGTCACATGATTAACACCTACTTGCTGAAAGCTTAGCATATCCCTGTGTGCAAAAGGAGATTTCTCTAATTAGAGCTGGTTGAAGCTGCACAGGAACAATTGTCTGATGGGGGTAATGAACAGTGGCATAGCAGAGTCTGCTGCCTGTTGTACTGGTGACAACAGCGGGGGAGGCAATTTGGGACATTCAGGAGACTTTTTAAGGTTGAAAATTTCCCTGTTCAGAATATTTAACATAGAAATAAGCCGCTTGTGTTTAAGACGTAATGTAGTCATTGATTTTATTTTGCAGCATGGGGGTATTTATTATTCCAGGAGAAGCTCCAGCCCTGTGTAGTCAGCACCTATGCACCAAATATGTCTTTCTCCTGAAACACGTTGCTCTCCAAACATTCAGTATGAACTTCCAGTGTTTTTCAAGTTGTACTATGCAGGGCATGCAAGGCATTGGCCAACCTGCATGTATCATAAAAAACATGTAACATAAAAATCATGTCCCTCAGTGATTATTCTCTGCTTGCGCACACTTGAAAGAAAGAAGCCAAATCACTCATATTCTAGAACCAAGGAATAAGCATGGATGATTGAATGGGGAATTATGTAGACAGCTCCTGTTCTTGTTTACTGTTTACTGCACCTAGCTGAAAATGTCCTCCATTTTGTCTGCTGGCTTTTGATATTATCCAACAGAGTTCGTTATATACGCAATAATAAACCAGTGTATAGCAAAATCCTCTCTTCTGTTTAGTTCTTGGATCATTTGCTGGCTGGCATAGAAGATATATCTGGACACTGGGGACAGTATTACTGGAAAGACAAGTAAGGATTTGCCAAAAATACAACTATGTACATGTTTGGAAAAAAAAGAGTCTGGTTTCTGTTTCTGTACGGTTCCACCGGGGATAGCTGAGCTTCATTCATCCATGTGTCATAAAGCAGATGACAGCCACAAACAAAGAGGGACAGCTTTTCTTTTCTTTCTTTAAGCTCAAAAGGTGGGACCAAATCAGAACAGACTGTTCCTCGTCCCGTCCTCCCCCAATTTGGATGTCATCCATGGTGGTACTTCACTGACAGAGGGCTCTTTTCTTGTCTTCCCAAAACCTTCCCCCTCAGTCAAAACAAAAACATGGAGATGTTGTAAATGAAGGGCCCAGGTGTCATGTCAACACCCTACATAACACTTGTTGCTTCAAGGATTGGTCTGTTGGCACATTCCTGTGTTGTGCTGATTAGAACCCTGACCCTGCAAACACACACATACTTAACTCGCCACATTTGAGTAACCCCACTGACGCTGAAGGGGTCATGCACATGCGTAACATTAAGCACACCTGGAACAGTTTTCAGGGCTGGAGCTATAGCCCTTCCTTCCCAGGGAACCAGCCCTTCCCGATCGGGTGCACTGGTTTGATATGGCAGGGACTCTGCCACAGGGCTTTCACCACTTGGGCTCTTTCATACACTGGTGAGACAAAGTTGGGACAAGCGACAAAAAATCATATTTCTCATTTACTTTGGTTTTAAATGGTCCAAATAACAAAGAGGGACTAGCGTGCACCAAAGTAAAGACTAAAATGCTATCCTGAACCAGGGTTTACCTCACTAGAAATAGCTAAATCTTAGACTATTGATGTCCTTCCAGTGTGCTCAGTATCTCTTGGTTTGGCTATTTGTATTATTTTTGTTTCTTCTTTATTTTAATTTTATATATATGGGTGTTTCATGACCACTTTTTTTGCTGTGTTACTGGGAATGTGGGGACACAGACTGTAGCTCATTTTTGATCCTGTTAAGAATTTTAGTTTTGGTTTTAATGGACCATGCATTTCCTTTAAAAATAAAAACTAAAGGCAAAGACAGAAAACATGGGATGCCCTATCCAGACTTGGAGATCCAGTATTTGACATACTCAAGTGCAATATGAAAGAATTAACCATAGCAGAGTCACTACTATGCTATTTTAGTACCGCTAGTCATGTGATAAAATGTAAAGATATGTGTTTTTATGAGGAGGTACAAATACAGCGGTATTATTAGTAGGGCTGTCAAGCGATTAAAAATTAATCTCGATTAATCACGCGATTAAAAAAAATCAATTGCAATTAATCGCATGGTTAACTGTGCTGTTAAACAATAATAGAATACAATGTATTTAAATATTTTTGGATGTTTTTGATATTTTCAAATATATTGATTTCAATTACAACCCAGAATACAAAGTGTACCATGCTCAGTTTATATTTATTTTTCATTACAAATATTTGCACTGTAAAAAACAAAAGAAATAGTATTTTTCAATTAACCTAATACAAATACTGTGGTGCAATTCCTTATCATGAAAGTTGAACTCACAAATGTAGAATTATGTATAAAAAAAACTGCATTCAAAAATTAAAAAATGAAAAACGTTAGCCCCTACAAGTCCACTCAGTCCTACTTCAGCCAATTGCTCAGACAAACAAGTTTGGTTACAATTTGCAGGAGATAATGCTGGCTACGTCTTGTTTACAATGTCACCTGAAAGTGAGAACAGGTGTTCGCATGGCACTATTGTAGCCAGCGTCCCAAGGTATTTAAGTGCCAGAAGCCCTAAAGATTCATATGTCCCTTCATGCTTCAACCACCATTCCAGAGGAAGCTGCGTCCATGCTGATGATGGGTTCTGCTCGATAACAATCCAAAGCAGTGAAGACGAAAGCATGTTCATTTTCATCATCTGAATCAGATGCCACCAGTAGAAGGTTGACTTTCTTTTTCGGTGGTTTGAGTTCTGTAGTTTCCGCATCGGAGTGTTGCTCTTTTAAGACATATGAAAGCAATCTCCACACCTCGTCCCTCTCAGATTTTGGAAGGCACTTCAGATTCCTAAACCTTGGGTCAAGTGCTGTAACAATCCTTAGAAATCTCATATTGGTACCTTCTTTTTGTTTTGTCAAATCTGCTGTGAAAGCGATCTTAAAACGAACATGTGCTGGGTCATCATCCGAGACTGCTATAAGATGAAATATATGGCAGAATGCAGGTAAAACAGAACTGGAGACATACAATTCTCCCCCGAAGGAGTTCAGTCACAAATTTAATCAACACATTATTTTATTAACAAGCATCATCCGCGTGGAAGCATGTCCTCTGGAATGGTGGCTGAAGCATGAAGGGGAATACAAATGTTTAGTATATCTGGCATGTAAATACCTTGCAACACTGGCTACGAAAGTGCCATGTGAACACCTGTTCTCACTTTCAGGTGACATTGTAAATAAGAAGCAGGCAGCAGTATCTCCCGTAAATGTAAACAAACTTGTTTGTCTTAACAATTGGCTGAACAAGAAATAGGACTGAGTGGACTTGTAGGCTCTAAAGTTTTACATTGTTTTGGTTTTGAGTGCAGCTATGTAACAAAAAAATCTACATTTGTAAATTTGACTTTCACGATAAAGAGATTTTGCACTACAGTACTTAAATGAGGTGAATTGAAAAATACTATTTCTTTTGTTTATCATTTTTACAGTGCAAATATTTGCAATCAAAAATAATAATATAAAGTGAGCACTGTATACTTTGTATTCTGTGTTGTAATAGAAATCAATATGTTTGAAAATACAGAAGAACATCCAAAAATATTGAATAATTTTCAATTGGTATTCTGTTGTTTAATAGTGCGATTAATCACAATTAATTTTTTTGAGTTAATTGCGTGAGTTAGCTGCCGTTAATTGACAGCCCTAATTATTACCATTATTGTTTGTTATTTGTTATTAGTTATCTTTTATCACTTCATATTAGGAATCTGTACAGTTGCATTTGTTGAACCTACAGCTGTTCTTTACATTTAAGGTTTAATTATATTTACTCCTCCTTCCTTTTGCTTGTCCAACTCTCCTCTTTCCTGCCAGTGCTCCTGCTGTAAGTCATCCTTGTGTTTAGATCAGTGAAGGGTTATGAATCTGAAAATGTAGCTTTTCCTTGTTTTTCTTGTAAATAATGTAAGATCAATGCTGGTTGGAACAGTGATTGAAGACTGTTGTGTTACTTTGAGGTATTGAAAAATCATGGACCATCCACTGAGATTTTCATAACAAAAATGCCAAATTTTCATTAAACATGAGGTAAATTGTATATACATGTGCATTTTGTTTTTGTAAACAAAAAGACCTTTAAAGTGCACTGGTAATAATTTACCATGTTTTACTATTTGCTCTACAGACATGCACACCTAATTTCATGGTAAGGATTCTTGTATGTGTAATCTGACAGATCCTTCTTTTGTTAAGAATGACTGTTTTTGGAATGACCACTAGAGGGTGTTGAAAACGCTGTCTGCTAAGCAACTCAGGACTGGCTCTTTCTGAACGTACAGTACCTAGTACCTGAACCTTAGTACCTAGGCTAAATTGCTGGCTAGAGAGAGACATATGATGCCAAACAATGGCCAAACTTGAGTATCTGTACAGGTATGTGAAGTGAACTAGATCTCCTTCAAGTACTGAGCTGGGAGCTGCTTCGAGAGGGGATTCTGGAAGCTGCTGGACTGATCCCAGTCACTTCTGTTTGATCGAATGTAATAAGCAACGGTAATGGAGTTCACAATCATTTTGGCCCTTCGGAGGCATTTTATTGCATTACAAATTGCATTCTGAGAAGCTCTAACTTGCTTCATGTGCCACATTATAGAATTAATATAGAGCACAACCCTGTGCTCTTTGCACACCCACAAAGCAAGGTGGGCCGGACGGGGCTCTTGACCCACTAGTTGCTGGAAAGCAGATGTCTAAAGGAACAACAGCCAATCTGCCAGAACCAGTTCTGTGTCCTGGGGAGGAAAGAATGAGACAGTGCAATTTTGTTCAAACAAAGGTTCAGCACAGCAGTGTTTCATTTTTGTTTTCTTCAAGTCATGAGCATCACAGTATCAGTACAGCAGTGTTTGTTTGTTTTTTGTTCCTGAACAGACTGGAATATTTCAACGGCAAGTATCTTCAGAAGTTCTTACTCCGAGAGTGTGACCAGCCAAAATCAAGTATTGTGCTGCTCTACGAAAAGCTAGAGAGGAAACATGCCATTGAGCTAGTAGAAGCAGGGCAGTTAATTCATGAGCCGTCCCATACATCTTTGCTGTAAGTGTTTTCCTAGCCTGGTGTAATGACACAAATAGTACTTCAGAAAGGCTGATGGGAGGTTGATTCCCTGCTTGGGAGTCCTGACTGCAGGTGGGCTGTGTCCCTGCTTGTAACACAGACATTAGCATGTTTGTGGCATTAGGTAAAATATAAATGACTACATATTTTTTTAAATTGTAAAATTTGGTTGATATTTTCTTGTTTAACCATTTGAACCAGATTCAGTCAATCCATGTTTGATTTATCCATACTGTGAGATAGAGTCCTTGAAAGATTAAAGTGCTAGCCAATCCCCTGGCACGTAATGGTTGTATAATAACTTTATATCAGAACCCTTTAAAATCCTAATGGAAATTGTGGTATGATTTGGAGTAGCTGGGTCACCAGATCTGATTAGTTGTCTGCTTGGGGTGTTAACGCAGATAGTTAATCTCGCTTACAGGTGTGGAGGAGGCATAACCTGGAGGCAGGGAATGGGACATGGGCAAGGGACCCTCACACATATCAAATCTTAAAGCAGCATTTTCTGCAGGTCAACCTTTTGCAGCTGCAGCAGCTGCAGAGTGACTAAGCAGCGCAGCTTGTGGGCAGATGATAAGGGGGCCAGGTTGACCATGTTTCCTTGCAGATGCCTCTGTGTCCATTGGACGAGGACTAACCTTCCCTTCCGAGTGGATACTCAGGATCTGTGGGGTTGGGAGTCTGCACCCGCACATAGCCCACCCTGCCTGGAGGGAACAGTTACTTGGAAACCTGGCAGAGTTCCCTGCTCCCTTCGCCCCTCCTTGCTGGCTGCTCTGTGAGAAGAGATGGTGTAGCCCAGACAGATATAAAGAAAATGCTTTTGGTGAACAATCCCATTGCAGTGCCAGAGGAGCTAAGCTCTCAGTCTCTACTCCTGGCAGGGGTAGGTGTGTAACTCTCAGTGAGTTGTGCTGAGGTTGGACCTGAACAATCAACACTTACATGCATTTGGTGGCAAACTTTAAAATCATTGAAAAATTTTGGAGAAAATAATGGCAAGTTTGGGCAATTATGTCAGAAATTAAAGTAACATGACTCTGATCCCATCTCCCCCTGACATTTCTGCTCTTTCATGGTTCTTGCTGTTCACCAATCCAATCTCCTTGTATTAGCCTATCTACTCAACAAACAAGCTGCTAATTGTAACTTCAGCTTCATTAAGTGCCTTTGCAATTTATCTCATGCACTACGCACTGATGAAGAACCCAGGTGTTTTCTTTGCAGTGACAGCCACAGGTCTGCCACAATGATCAAAGAATCGGACTCTCTGAATCCAGATGTGCTGGAGAATATACAGAAAATATTGGCAAGGAACCTATACAAAATAAGGAGAACAGTAAGGTTTTTCCACTCAAGCTACAGTACAGTAGTTACATGAATTGTAAAATATTATTAGTATGATTTTCAGCAGCATGCACAGATATTGGGATTATTTAGATGTGCTACTAAAGGTCTCCCTCTATGGAGAGCGAATAGTTGACTAAGCAAAGTGAAGACTAACACCCAGCTTGTTCCTCTGTTTGTCTGTCTGTAATGTGGAACTTTAGCTCTGTCCATCCTCCCCATACAATTTAAAAATGTTGACACCCTGAAAGAGAGAGAGAGAGAATGGTGGGGGGAAGAGGGATTGCATGTGCATGCAGAGCCCCTGGCAGGGTGGGAGGATGGGGGACTATGGTTTGGGGGCAAGGGAGGTAAAGAGAGGAAAGGGGGAATGAGAGGGCACACAGAGCCCCCGGCATGGGGTAGGAGACTGTGGTATGGGGGAAGGAGGGCATGGGGGACACATAGCCCTTGGCATATGGCAAAGGGGCAATGGAGAGGCACACAGAGCTCCTGTCATAGGGGGAGGGGAAAATGGGGGCCATACAGAACCCCTGGTATGGGGAGGGGGCGATGGAGGGATAAGGTGTTGGGTTTCAGGGAGTCCCTGAAAGAGAAGGGGATGGGAGGGTGGTGAGAGGGGAGTGGAGGGATGCAGGGTGCTCCTGGTGTGTGCAAAGAGTTCGGCCAATAGCAGCAACAGGTGTTTGACCCTATAGTAATAATTAAATGAAAAATGTTTTAAAGCTATTCAACAGTTTTGCCATGAAATGTTTACCCTTGGGTGCATAGGAAATCCTGCTGTTTGCAGAACAATTGCACTATGCTATACTATACTATAGTATACTATACTATCTAAGAACTGTTTATATGGTGGTATGTGGAGCTTTATCTCTTAAACGCAACTAAAGCCTTTGCTTTCTTGGCTTAGGCATGAAATGCCAAATCATTAGGAATGTGGCTAATATGGGTATCTTGGCACAGAGCTACCACCTTTTGTCTTGCTGCTGTGCTAAGAGATGCAACAAGATAAGGCTTTTGGGGAAACATTAAAAAGTGGGCGCAAAAGAATCAAGGTCTGGTTTTTGCTACCAGTCTGAAGCTGGAGTATGGCCAGTGTAGCCAACGGAGATACTCCAGGTCTACACCAGGGGAAGTGAGAGCAGAATTTGGCTATAGAAGTTTACACCTGGGAAATTTATTTTTGTGATGTTACATATGGTGCTGACCCAAAGCCCATTAAATGGAAAAACTCCCATTGACTTCAGTGGGAGCTGGATCTATATGATTTATGATTTATGTGAGCAGGTGCCAGCATATAACAGGCATACGCTTCCTGGAGAAAGTGGGACAGCAGAGCAGGCAAAGGAGATCCTGATTCTCAGACACAGGAGCCTTCGAATCCATATGAACAGAAGTGACTCTGATCACTTTAGAAAGGAGGTATGGAGGGCTGGGAAATCTTTTAATTGTAAAGAGGCATGATGCATGATTCCTTTTCATTCTCTTGTATATTCAGTGGTGAGGAGTCTCATACTAACAGATATACATGTTATCACCAAACTCCAGAAAGTTGTTATTTTAAAGAAAAGAGATTCTGGTACCTTTTAATAAAAGTGTCTATTAACCTTCATCTGAATATTAGTGAGTACAAAACTCTTGGGTTACCTGAAAAATTCAGATCCCTTGCAAATGAATGAGCAGTAGCACAATTCAGCTAATTGTTATCATATATTCTATCAGTGTTAGGACAGTTATTTACTTAGCAGTTTTAATGAATTGACACTTGGCTTTTCTGTTATAAGGGCCTGTTTTTCATGCGGGGAGGAGATCTGGTAAGATTTCATAACAAGCTGAAACTTGGGGGCACAAGTTATCATCAATCTAGATGTACTGTAAATATATATATATTTTTTACAACTTTTTCAGAAAGACAGAGCCATTTTTGTAAGGCTTTTATATCACAACTTTGACGTTATTTTTTAAACTAGTTACAGTTTTGAGAAGCCTTCAAGAAATAAAAGCAAATCAAAGGAAATATAGTATACCTAATTCCTAAAAAGCCCACTTTAGGGCCAGATTTACCATTAACATATTCTGAATTAAAAAAGAAACTGACAAACTATTTCACTTTAACTATTAGTTACTGTGCATGATTCAAACAACTGTGACTACTTACATTGACTTCAAGCAAACGAGCAAGATCAGGACCAAAATATTTAGCTTCCAAAGCCCCAATTCAGCGGTTCATATCTACTGAACAAAGCACTTTAGCATGTGCTCAGTGGGACTAAGCACATGCTTAAATGCATTGCAGAATTGCTGTCAAGTGTCCAAGGGCAAACTGTGGCTGTTAATGTGTATAAGAATAAAATTATATAACAGAGGAGAAAAGTATGGTAGTTAAATGATTAATGATTATTTAGCTAGTGATTTCCCGGACAGCATAGACCCTCTAAACCCCCATGAGCTTTATTCCCCTCAGATTTCTTTGTTGAAAATCCAGTCACTGAAGAGCCAATCAAAATATCAAGTAATGTACCAAATGCCTCTACTTCTAGTCCTTCATTCACAGAAAGGTGTTTCAGCTGTAGAAGCAAACAACCAAAAAGATTTAATTTGATCATTTACATGCTGATTGATACTTATAATTAAAAATAGATAGAAGACAACATGGCATTTTCTTGTAGAACATTTGGTATAATTAAATTGAAAAAGAGCTAAGTTAAACTAATGCTAATGTTGTGAGCAAGATTATATATTTTAAGTAAGGACATTCAGCGATTAACCCTTTCACACCATCATAGACCTCCTCTGTTGTGTCTGTTAGATATTGCAGTGCACATGATATTAAACTCGGGAAGATTCTTTCCCTAAATAATTCTATTGGGTCTTTAAGATGACAGAACTTTGTTATGCCCTTTAGTAAAGGGAGCAAAAGCCAGAACATTTGTGTTGTATCTGGTGAGTAAGCGATGGGTCGAGTCAGCAAAATGGCTTGTACTGTATTCATGCTCACTTTGCAAACTTGTGAAGGAAGTAGGTACCCCAAGATACAGTCCAGGCACTGATCCTGCAATAGGATTTATGCAGATAGAGTTCATTACTGGACAGGGGACTTAGTTAGCATACTTCAGGGTAGTATACAGCACTGCAACACGTCTCTTTACATTATGTTAATTGTAATATGAAACTGTCTGAAAGTTAACACTGATATTTAGAAAGTTAAAGTTAACAAAGTTATGCTTAAAGTGACTGTCATGTCACCACATTTTGGTGATAACTGCACCATTTTTGGACTCTGTAATTAGAACAAATATAAATACTGAGGCCCTGATTCTAGAAACACACATGGAGTAACTTTACACACGAGAGAAATCCTTTGCAGTCAATGGGACTACTCACTATGTGTTTGCACAGTCAGGGCCTTTTCTTGGTAATTTTCTGATGTCATTTTTACAGCAAACAGAAATGAAAGAAATGTGATTAATGTCTGAAAATTCTAGGAAGATGTCTCATATATGTTCTAAAAGAGTCTCAGTGTATTAACTTGGAATGATATGGAGTGACAAATTATAGCATTTGATTGCACACAAATGATTTTTTTGCTGGATTAAATTAAAAATGCATTGATAAAAATAGATTTAAAAAGCCAAATATTTTCAGATTATGTCATTTAGGCTTAGAGTTTTATGTCAGGTTGATACACACAGGCCATATTCCTGCAGAAAGGATTCATTATTGAAAACCCTGTAGAACTCTAGCTAGGAACTTTTGAGCACTAAAGTGCAAATAAGGGTCACATACTATGCTTTATGTGGATTCCAGGGAAGAATTTGACCCTCAGGATTTTATCTGAGACAGATATGGACCATTATACCAGAGAAAAGTATGTGTTCTTGTTCCATGCAGTATTCTATTCTGCATTTTACCACAAGGTGGAACTATTACAATTATACTTACTGACCAAATCTGAAAAGAAACCTGAAACAAACTTGTTTTGTATATACCCTCTGACTGATCAGAAGAATTAAGAGGGAAGTAGGAGCAAGGTACAAGGGATCACGCTAACGCATCCAGTGCTGGTGGAATTTGCATGTCGTCTTCCATTTACAGTCTAGTAGAAAAGTGCTGCCTGATGTAGCAGAGGAATCCAATAAGAGAAAATTAACTTTGAATCATATCTCAACTCTTTTAACAACTTAGGGGCCTGAGTCTTCAACCACTTGGCACCTTTTTTCAGGAAAAAATAAAAGGCAGATGCATTTAAAAGTTATTACTCATTAGAGCTAGATAAAAAACAGGTGAATGATTTAATGAAAATTTTCAAAGATGTGTCTATTTCACAGGGTTTGAAATTGATCCATTTTCTGGTTTTTTTCTGATTTTTTTGGTAATATTTTTATGACAACAGTATTTGAAATCATTTTCAAAAATTTTCATTGACCAAAAGCCCAATTTTCAATAATAAAATGTGAATTTTCATAAACCAAAATGTCTGTACAGATTTCATTAAAAATTTCTGGAAACATTTTGGTTAAAGTGTCATGGAAATTTTCATGTAAAATGTCAGTAATGTCAACATGTTTTTTGTAAAGGCCATTTTTTCCCCTGCAAAACGCTTTTCATGCAAAAAGTTTCTACCAGCTCTGCTTTTTAATTCGAGTAGTTCTACAGTAACAATTAATGAGCTGGGCCCCATTGTGCTGGTCACTCTACTTATACATATACATAAGAGTCCCTGCCCTGGAGAGCTTACAGTCTAAACAGGCCAGTCAGATGAAGAAAGGAAATGTAATCACCCCATTTTCACAGGTGAGGAATGGAGGCACAGAGAGATTAATGGATTTATCTGAGGTTACATAGGACATCTGTGGCAGAGCTAAAAATTTAACCCAGATTTCCTGAGGGCTAGTTCAGAGGCTTAACCCAAAGACCATCCTTCTTCTCAAAAAAGTTCAATTTCAGGTCTTAGTTTCACCCTCTCTCAGGGGAAAGAATCATTGAAGAGCGCTGACCATTCAGGGATAAGGTCTCCTATTACCGTTTGCTGTAGATATGTATCACAATGCACGCTCTATATTACTGTTCATGTTTTGGGTTTCTTTGTACTGCACATGTGGGATATGATCCAACCCAAAATCTCATAGGTGTTGTGGTTTCAGAGCCTTAGTACAATACCTAATTATTATTCAGCACCCAGAAAACACTTGCACCTGTAGCCCTTGAAATTTGTACTAGCTCTTCCCTCTGTTCTTTTGCCAACACACATATAGTCCCCTCTCCCCTTTAAATGGCTCATTTGGAGCTGCTTGTAAGGCATGGCCATAAATTACATATTGCCTTTAGTAATTGTGTCAGAGGGACTGAATGGAGCACGCTCTGAGAGTCCTTGGATATCCTTGGGGATGGCTTTCCAGGGAGCTAGGCCACTGCTGTTCAACCCTGGAAGCCATTGTTACTAAAATAGTCAACAAAACTGCAAACAATGGATTGAGGGCATCAGGTCCCTGGTTAAAGGGAAAAAAGAAAGAAAACAAAACTGAAAACTGGGCTGGGAGGTGGCCAGAAGTGATTTGGCAGCATGGGTTTCTGAACATACAAGCCAAATCATGGCTGCATAAAGGACTTATTTCCTGTTAAAACAATATCAAAGAATTCTAGCTGAATTGTGCTAATAGAAATTCCTGAGAAGTGCAGATTAGTGCGGAAGCAAAAGGAGAGAGTGCTCATTAGCATGAGCTCGCTACCTAGCAAGCTTTCCACTGGCTACTTGGCATAAAGCCAGGGAATAAATGTATGTGGCCTTGCCAAGTTTCTGCTCAGTCACTTGGCTGGGTCCTCATCACTCCAGATCTGCTGCTTTCAGATTGTATCTGCTAAATTGCTCCCTGAGAGTTCAGACCTCTTTCATCAACATGAAACAAATAAGTGTCGGTAAACATTTCCTCCCAGAAATCTATGCTGGGTATTTAATCTATTTTTAGAAGCATTTCTTTTTGTTTTTCTTGTATTCTCTTGGCAAAATTAAAACAAATGGAAACAGAGTGCATGGGAATCGTGAATGGCTTGTGTCTGAAATATGAGTATCATTTATAGACTTACAGGCTATCTCCATAAAAGTCCTAACCTACTTCCTTTTATAATCACAGAAGGATGACTCCTATTCTGCACATCATGGATCTGACACAAAGCCTAAACTGCGCCGTTCCTTAAGTGGTAAGTGGGAAAACATATGAGTGACCATGCTGATGTTTTCCCCTATGGTATATTCAAGAAGAAGAAATAGTGTTACATCAGTGATTCATTAGTTGGGTTGTTGGGATTCACTGGAGCACGGGGGGCAAAATTTTCATTTTTGCACACTCCGATGAAGTGAGCTGTAGCTCACGAAAGCTTATGCTCAAATAAATTGGTTAGTCTCTAAGGTGCCACAAGTACTCCTTTTCTTTTTGCGTATACAGACTAACACGGCTGTTACTCTGAAATCTTTTCCCTGAGGAACTGATTGCACTTAGTAAAGTGGGTGGGCAGCTATTTTACACACACACAGTCAGTTATTAGTGCACACAGATGAGGCTGTCAGTCAATCACCTACCCAATTTGTATGTGCCAGTCTGGGTTTTTCACAGGTAAATTGGGAACATGGCCACTTTTTTGGTCACAGTCTGTAGCACGCACAAGCCGAAATGGGGGCTGTAAATATAGTAAAAATATATAGTAAATATGTAGAGTAAAATAGTCCTAGCGTATAGAGAGTGGAAAATAAAATATGCAGTCTTAATGTGTGCACTATCAGCTAAAATACACAGACACCAGATATCTAGCTTTCCACTGTCTCTGAGTTACAGGAGAGGGGTTGAGGATAGAGATGGGGCAACACTATTTCTGATGTCCACAGCTAGGGCAGATATAACAGGGTGGGACACACGTATTCACTCACAGCTAACTGTTCAGGTAGTTCCCACTACTCTTTGTGTTGTCCCCTCCATTATGGGGCAAAAGTCTACAGGCGAGGAGTGAGAACGTGCCCTGCCCCGAGTGAAGAACTGTAGGTGAACAAAAGTTCTGCGAATCTGTAGGAGAATAACATGAAGACTTGGATTTGGAAAGTTACTGGGAACCCAAGTTTCGAATGTGGGCACCAAAATGAGATGCCCAGTCCTTGTGCAGGGATTCTCAGATTAGTACCTAGGCACTTAAATGTCAATGAATGAACATGCTAAGCAAGACAGAAGATGTGTCCTTTTGTGACATTTAAGCAGTGATATGAGGGACGCTGAAGTCACCCATTATTATCATTTTATTCAATTTTCTTCCCTTTTTATCTTCCTCAGCATTGTATGCTCAATGTCCTTTTCATAACCAGAGGCTGGTAGGATATCACCTTGCTATATTCTGTTGCACAGCTTTCCCCCTCATTCATTACTGATGGGTCAATACCCTCATCTATGGAAGTCGGAGACAGTCCAGGGCTATCGTTGTAGGCTCCAAGACTAAGCTCTGCCCTCAAGCCCAGGCCACCAGGTTTTCTGCCTCTGATGGCGAAACCAATTGCTGGTTCAGTTTCTCCCAACCATTTTGTTTTAAAACCTCTATTTGTAATTGTTTTTGTGCAGTTATGACTTCCTCCTCCTCCTCTTCCACCCCTCCCGGATCAGATAAAGAGCAGCACAGTGGCTTCAGCCACCTGGATCTACTGATGCAGCACCTCCCTATTTGAGTTCTCTGCCCCAACTCAGGCATGGCAGAGTTGTCCTGCAAACAGCTGGCTTAAGTCTAAGTGGTGTTCCCTGCACAAGGCAACATATATGGGCTCTTCAGAAGGTGAATTATTCCCTGCCAGTTCCCAGCCAGTTGACCCTCACACTGCCAGGGCATGGGGCTCAGAGCTAGACCAGCATGTCGGGCCCTTACCCTGCTCTGAGGAGCTCCCACTGCAACACTGAAAAGCCCAGTGAGGAGCTTCTGAGCTTTCAGAGGGAGTCTAAAGATGGGGAGGAAGCTATCCAGCCAGCGTAGGTGGTAAGTTCCGCAACAGACCTGGGCTGGAAAGGGGGAAAAATCCTGAAGGATCCAAAATCCTTCTCCTCCTCTCTCCCCAAAACTGAAGCTGGTCCTCAGCTCCCTGGGGAAAGGAGCAGCCCCCTTTGCTCCCACTAGGAGTCAAGGGATTTTCATGATACTCAGGAGTAAGTCCCACAAACCCCAGAGACTCTGGGTCCCAAAACTGAAAACAAGCAAATGTGTCCTTTGCAAGGCAGCGATTATTGTTGTTATTGAACAAGAGGGGTGAAATCAGGGTGACACCCCTTCTCCTTTGCGTTCTCCAGCACAGAAGCTGGGTTTGCTGGGGCTTTTCTCCAGTACAGAAGCTCTCCCAAGTCTCTGTGTCATGCTCACGGCCCCTCCCATATCTGACAAGCCTGTCCCTTCTGTGCAGCCCTGCCTCTGGCTTTGGACAAACCCATGACGTGATTTGTGATGAGCAATGGATTCTAAGCTGGTGGCTACAAGGAAGCCATGTTACACGCATGAATAGTCATTGATCATTCTAAACAGGTATCTTGTGCCTTCAAACTTACAGGTGAGGAGCTATAGGAGGAAACATTAGAGAGTTTAGTAACTGAGATTGCAGAGAAGCCTCAGCCTCATTATCAAAGCTAGCATAGCAATCCATTGGTAGCTGCCAATACCCTGGGTATTCAAGAAGGTACTATCACCTGGTAGAGAGGAAAAATCTGGAGCAGAAGCTTCCAAGGAAACCTAGATAAAATTTCCTCCAAACTAACAATCCTCAGCATTTCAAAAACAAATGGAGTATTTGGGTGAGAGAGTTCACAATTCCTGTACAAGACGCTTCCTTCTGATCTGACCTCTGCCCTACCAGTACCTGGTAGCTCTCACAGCAAGGCACAGGTCACACGCTACACACAGATAAGTACCCTGCCCAGAGATACAGACCTATTCATAACTGGACAGTTGCTGGAAAGGATTTATAGCCACCAGTTCGTCAAAATCAAGAAAAGCTTTTGATATCAATGCAGAGAATTGCTCACGCAGTGGTCAAAACAGACATAGTTCTGGCTGTTATTTGACCATAATGGTAAAGATTTGCAGAGATCCATCATTGCATAAGTAATTTCCTGAGGGGTCATCAGTATCCAGTTATCTCCAATGGCTAGGATTACTGGTGCATCTCAAGGAGGTTTCTCAAAGTGCACCTGCAGAAATTCCTTCTGAGGACACAGAAGTATACACTTGATGCAGTCCAAATTTAGGTGCCATTCTCAGGTTACCTCTGAATTCCACTTTATGGGCAGGTAAGTACAAACAACATGCTGAAAGTGAGCTCAATGTCCACTCTAGATCTTTGTATATTCACTATGAAAACAAGTATACTTGGAAGACAAGTGTTCAAATCTCATGGTACGCATCCTTTTGATTGATTTTGAAACTTCTACCAGGGTATGTCTTAAAGGAAATAAAAGGAAACCCCACAAACATGGCCATATGGGATTGGAGCAGTGGTCCTTCAAGTTCAATATCTTTTTGATGACAGTAACCAGTACCAGCTGCGTCAGTAGAATTTGCAAGAACCATGAAGTAGGCAATTAAGGTACTTGCAGAGGAAGTCTCCTCCTACCTCCCAGTAGAGGTTGTCTTATAATTCAAGCATGAATGTTTATATCCCTTCTGAAACCAGGAAGTAACCAGAGGTCAAAGCTTCTCCATGGCAATAGAAATAATGTCCTGGGTAGAGAAGAATCTCCTACCTTTCAGGACAGTTCTCATAAAGGATGCAGAAAAGTGGAAAGTGGAGAGTTTAAGTCCTCCTTCTTGTCCTCCACTGGCCTAGAAGGCATTTTGGACAGCCACGGTCCTCACATTGTACCTGCAGAAAACACCAGACTTCCTGAAGCAGGGACTCCTTCACTCAGACTGTGAACACCTACAGTTAACAACCTGGACATCGGAAGAGAAGTGTAGTTCAGCATGGATTCTCCATTAACCTCTGATATAGTTTGGTACCCAAACAAAACTCAATCAGGATATTTCATTCGTTGATCTGGTTCAAATTTACATTTCTGGTATGAGGGGAAACAGAAAACTCTTTGGGGCATGGATTGCATTTTGTTTATGCAGTACCCAGCCCAATGGGGCCTTGACCTCTACATGCTATTGTAATACAAATATAATAATAATCCCAAAGTTCTGGTGATCTCATTCACATTAGAGTTTCTCCAGGAGGCTTGGCTGGAGTCCTACATCCATGCACCTTAGAAATGTGAGTACTAGCCCGAGTGACATTTTGTAGACAGAAACATTGGATTCTCTATATGAGTATCAGGTGCCAGGTTTAATCAGAGTGACAGATTAGACAAGCCTGTGGCTGGCCTTTCTCATCACCATTACCTCCAAAAGGCAAGTTTTGGAATTAGTTCCCATGTCATTACAAGAAGCACTCTGTCTTCGTCATGAGGAAAAAATTATTCTTATAGCTTCAGAAACCTTTCTGTTCAAGGTAAGTTCCTCTTTCCACAATTCCTGAGAAATAGTTCTCCCATAATACGGTTCTAACCCTTGGAAGGTTGTGCCATAAGTGGGACTTTCTAGAGCTCTGAAGATATATCTCAAGTCTATGGAGTACATATGCCAGTTATACTCTGTTCATTTCATTTAATCCAAAATGCCAGAGTCTTACAGCCTCAAAGTTGCTGCAGGCACAATGTAAAAATCCTACACGAGTTGGCATGTTAGGCACCTGGGAAATTATTCACAGAAGTCCGTAGAGTCACTGTGGGGAAAATGTATGAGCCTCATCTAAGGAAGATTTGCAAAGTTTTTGTCCCTCTGTAGGGGCATCCTTTGGTAAGAAGGTGCTACTAGATTGGTTCCCACATAATTCCTTAGTTTATAAAACTCATGTTTTATATGGTGGAAAACTTATATTTCTGCCTATTATTTTGCTATAATAATTTATCTCTGCTTATCCTTCCCTTCCCGCCCCCACTCCCCCGCAACCCCATGTGACTCAGTGCTCTCTACTTCCCATTAGTGATGAATGAGGTGAGAAGCTATGCAACAGAATGAGAAATTTCTTATCTGATAATTTTTTTTGTTAGCAGCTTTTCTCCAAATTCAATCCACCCTGGTAGCCTATAAAGACCAGTACAGACACTGACATTTTTCTCTAAAGGGAGACTTATATTGTCTTAAGGTTAGTTTCATACCTTATATTGATTTGTCTTAGTGCTAATAATTGGTTGCTGCAGTGTTCCTACAGCCGTGGAAAAACTCTTCTAGTGGCCAGAGCTTAGTTCTGGACCCTCCAGCAACATTAGATCACCTCCAGATTCCATAGGTGGGGGCATTAATCCATTAGTAATGAACTCAGAGAGACGTTGCTAACAGAAAGAAAGAAAATATTCAGGTAAGAAACTTGTCATTCTTATGAACTTGGACTTGTCTGCATGTAGATTCTTCTGTGTGGTCCTCTCCACCAGGAATGCTATGAAATTGGGTTCTATGGAATATTTTAAAAACAGTCCTGTGACTTACTGTGTCACCTCTATGACCTAATCTGCCACCTGTACAATGTTAATAATGCATTTATAATGAATACAGGAAATGCCCAGTCTCAAAGGTAGCCTTATCAGTGTCAGCCAAGTTAATCGATCCATTACCCTGAAAAAACCCCCAATATGGTAACTAAATTACAGCTCCATTGGGAACACTTTTAGTAACACAAAAACTCGAGGTAAGACTTCCTGGCGATGGCACAGCTAACTGTGTCATTACTGCAGCTTTCTCCCTTCACAAGAATTAAAAAAAAAAAATCCTTATTAGTTATGGTCTTGAATCAGGAAACCATCACTATTCAGCAAAGCACTTATGCTTGTGTTTGATTTTAAGCACATGCTTAAGTTCTATTGAAATCAATAGAACTTAAATATATGCTTAAAGTTAAGTGGCTACTTAAGTGCTTTCCTGTATTGTTTATTTTTGCAAAGTGCCAACGTGTTCTTTACAAGTTACCAATACCAAGACAGTCCGTGTCTTGATGGGCTTGCAGTTTAGAATGCAAACATAGAAAGACCAGAGGCAGCTGGCTTCGTGCGTTTTCACAATCACACCTGTCGCCCTCAGGGAGCTGAAACCTTCTTTTTCTCACTTTTAAAATGTTTTAATGTTAATGAAGAATCAAAGAAATCTACATTGCTACATAAAGAAGCTCAGGTTTATTGTATCTGGAGGAAGTATAAAAGAAATCCTTAAGGATACAGAGAAGCAGTATCCTTTCATGCTTTGAACCACAATGTAATGTTCAGTTCCTAGGCCTACTACAGATACTGTGTGTGAGATATTGAACACTGTGAGTTTTCACAGTGCTTGGTACACAAGTATTTAGCACAAATGTTTCTGTATAATTCTGTGGAAAATTCTGTGTTTATTGACCGCTTCTTCCAGCGCAATGAGTGTGTGCTGTAGGGAGGGGATGGATCTAGTTTTAGTATACAGAGTATTTCTTGTACAAAATATCTACTGTAAAAATATAAGCAAAATAAGGATATTTCCTTATACCCTTTGCTTCTTTCCTTATCCTACTGTTTCCCTCTCCCATTTCATTTAAAATTTTGAAGCAACTTTAGTTTACTAAAACAAGCTGATGATATGGTAGTCATCCATATCGTAACCAGACCTACTAGCACTGTGTTCTGGGATGTTGCAAGAGGGGCTGAAAGGAATGCAGTCAGTTGTGTGACATTTGTGAGTCCATAATGTAGTCATCAAAATGTGCACACATTATATCCTGTAGGCATTTTAACTTGTAGTTTATTTTAGTTATTCAAGCAGCATTGTTGTTCCCCAGAAAAAATGTGGATGTGGCCTAGTGATCAGAGCAGAGAGGTAGGAGCTAGAATTCCTAGGTTCTGTTCCCATCTCTGTCATTGAGTCAAGTATATGCACAATAGATCTAGGTCAGGTTCTCAGGACAAATTTTTTGGTGGCCTCAGAGTGCAGCCACCAACTCTTGCTGGTGGCCACTCTCACACTTTTTCCTAAAATACTTAATTAGCTTTGGGAAAAAAGAAATACATATGCACGTTCAAATCATTGTAATTTATTTATTGCTAGCTAGTAAGTCTGCTATGAAAAGTGATATTAACAAACATATAAGTATCACTTTTTGCAGCAGACTTACTCTGCCCTGGCAAGCCTAGGGACAAATTAAGCCCTGGATGGGGATTAAGGGGAGGCAGTGGGGAACTGAAGCCTGAAGCCTCGCAGCCAGAGCCCGAAGCCGCGCAGTCAGGAGATGGGGCCCGGGGACAGAGCCTGACGTCGTGCGGCTGGAGCCTGCCGACCCATCACCTCAGGGCTGAAGCCCAAAGCCTGAGTCCCACCGCCCCTGGGATGTTGTGGAACTCACTGGCTGCCTGCTTCTCCGGTGCTGTGCCCCCGGTGTCTCCAGAAGAGGGCAGCGCCCAACCCCGGCTGGTGGCCCAGCAACCAATACCAAGGTGGTGCATCCAGGAGCATCAGGGAGGGGGAGGGGCCAATACTTTGACCCCTCTCCCCCATCACAGTCCAGGAGACTGTGGACACAAGAAAAGCACCTGGTGGCCTCATGCAGCCACGGTGGTTATATTTGAGAAATGATGTCATGCAATTGCTGACAGAACTGGAAGAGAATGTAATCCATCCAGTCCATTAGTTGTACATCTAAATGCCCACATTAACATGGCTTGTTTTGGAGGTACCGAAAATAAAGTGTTCTTCTGCCATAAGATTTGTACAGAACATCCGTTTCTTTAAAATGTTATTAAAAATTGCTCATTGTCATGAATGATGGGTCTTACAACACTCTGACTAAGTATTCAGTGGTTACCAGTGGGGACTGACAAAAGAATTACAGTGTTTGATTCCTGGTTAAATAACATATTTCAAAATTCAAAGCAGCTTTAAGGTTGTATTTTTCCTTCTATCAAAACAGTGCTGCTTGCCTGCTAATTGTTTCTGTAACTAAAAGATAATCATTGTAACTGGATAGTTCAGCCCAGCGTACAGGTAATAATTTAAACTAGCTTTAAATATTTCTTCATTACCATTGACTGACAAATGGAAAAAATTCTCAGCAGAGTCTGTTTTTTCCTCCTCTCACAGTAGGGAATCCAGAAAAAGTACCAGGTATGAAATGCAACCGATCAAAGTCTATGACCTTCAGCTCACCTCCACAGCCTGGCAGCACTGAATTGGTTAATGAAGAAGAAGCAGGAAAAGGGTCACATGCAGAAATGTAAGAGTACATGTTTCTGGCCGCCTACCTATGGGTCTGACTCTGTTCCCTGGCTGTGTAGAAGAAAATCTGTTCACCTTAGTTTAGAAAGGAGTCAGCAATGTGATGCTGTTGTAAATAAGACTATGTGTATAGTGGGCTGTAATAATAGGTATATTACATATAGAGGAAGCAACTGATCTGTGTCAGCTGGATCTCTGTTAGAACATTGATTTCATTGCTGGATGCCACATTTTTTAAGGGACATTAAGAAACTGCAGAGAATTCAGAGGAGAGCAGCAGCAATGAAAGATAAAAGTCAGAGGGAAGCTTAACAGAAATTAGCATGTTTAGTCTGAAAAAGGCAGAGGAAAAATGCTGTAACCGCAAGTACAAAAACTGATATTTAAAAAAAGAAGAGGGATCAATTATTCTCTAAAAAGAAAAGGAGTACTTGTGGCACCTTAGAGACTAACCAATTTATTTGAGCATGAGCTTTTGAAGTGAGCTGTAGCTCACGAAAGCTCATGCTCAAATAAATTGGTTAGTCTCTAAGGTGCCACAAGTACTCCTTTTCTTTTTGCGAATACTGACTAACACGGCTGTTCCTCTGAAACCAATTATTCTCTGGAGTCCATGGGGACAGAATGAGCAGCAGGGAAGATTTAGATTAAATGTTAAGAAAAACTTTATAACTACAGGGAGAGTTTCATTAGGCAGTTGAACAAGCCGGCAAGGGAGGCAGTGCAATCACTATTAGTGATGAGATGTGGGATTGCACTTCCCACTCATCGGTACTTAATGTTTCAGGAATAAGGAAATCAGTCCTGGAACATTTGAAAACTAGCTGTGTCCTGAAGGTCAGGTGCCATGCCTTACTGGACTAGCAAGTCTCACAAACACCAGATTATTAAGGGGAATCTAACACAACAGGGTTGAAATTGAACAAAGTTATTCTTATTGTTTTTCTAATGTATTTGGGGCAGGGAGGAAGGGGACTTTACGGCATCAAATGTAATATTTCCTGCAGAAAAATCTGGTTATATTTACTTCTGAGTCTTTTTAATATAAAATTTGTTGCAGAGAAATATATACAAAGGAGAGATAGAGAAAGAAGTTTGCTGGACTGAGGTTCTCTTGCCCACACAGCCACTGCACGTCTGCTGAGAACAGGCCCAAAAACCTGCTCCAGGTGAAATAAGAACTAATCTGAGTGTTTGTCCATGCCTTGAAGAAAACCTGGACTATTCCCCTGAGAAAAGTCTCCCTCCTCTTCCTTTTTGGTCATGGTAACTGCATGGTAACAGTCTGGGGGTTCCCAGCAATGATTCATAGCATCTGGGAAGCTCCAAATCCTGCATCAGTAACAGGAGAATACCAGAGCACAATCACTTACATAGAGACAAGGTCTAGGCTAGCACTGTTTCTGCTGGAGGAAAGGCAGCAAAGCCTCCCTCAGAAGATTTCCGCTCCTGCTGCTGGTACTCGGGCCTAGGGACAAAGAAAGCCTGAGTGAGGAGGCTCTTCTCAAAAGATTTTTGGAAGAGAGTAGTCCTCAGAGGCTCTGCTAAAAAGTGCTGCTGTCAGGGAAGGAAGAGGGATATCCTCATAGCACAGGCAGAGGTTAAGTGGAGAACTGAAGGGGCAGAGTGTGAAGATAGATGAAGTGGGAAACCTCGATATTTTGGACAATTCTTAGAAACTCCAGATATGCATCCAAACCTTGGAGTTTTGCTTTGCCAAATCAAACCAGATCTCCAAATATGTTAGGTTCGCCCATCACTAACATCAATCCTTTTCCTTCTCTGCCTATTAATCTGCACAATAGAAGGTATGGGGAGTTTAACAAAACACAAGTAAATAAATAGATCCTTTATGAAAAAAAATTATAAAGAATGTACCAAAGACCTCAGTCCTCTTCTACGTGGCACAATTGGACTTTCACAGTCTTTATCCTCCACGTACAGTATTATTCCACTGGGAAACACTGTACCACTAAACCAGATGCATAATTCATTTTTTAGTTAATCACACCTTACTGATTATAATTATTTTTCAAAGATTTGGGGCCTGTTTCTCATTACACTAAGGCCCTTTCACAGTGATCTGGCAGTGAAAAAGGCTTGAAAGCAGACTAAATAAACTTAATTTACTTCCTTTTTAAGGCTCTTTTTTTACACTGACCAATCCATATAAAATGGCCTTAATGCAAATGAGAAGCTGACACTTTAGCTTTAATTTAATCAGGATCTGCTTTATATTTTATTTTATATATATGTTGTGTGTATATATAGCTAGAATATGCAGTCATAGGAGAAAAAGAGTGGGTTAGTGGATTACAGATTGTTGTATGCAGTAATAATGGGCCACTCTATCTTGAATAGTCCCTTATAACATGTGCTCACTACTTATAATATGTGCTAAACAAACTGTTCCACCTTGCATTCTGCTGTCATGCCCTGAAGAAGATCTCTGTGTGGCTTGAAAGCTTGTCTCTCTCACCAACAGAAGTTGGTCCAATAAAGATATGACCTCACCCACCTTGTCTCTCTAATATCCTGGGACTGACATGGCTACAACTACACTGCTTTGTTTATTGACACTAGTAATCATGTACATGTGCATGTGAGATGAGAAGAATCAGAAAGCTAACATTTCTGAAGGAGGCATGTTCATTTACAACTGATATCCTGTTTTGATTAATTAGTGAATGAATTTTAATAAATAGTGAGTTCTGCCTTTTTTTTACATATAGTTTAATTTTTACATGGTTTATATTACTGTTTACATTTTACATGGTATGTATAATTATATAAAGGTTTACCAAGGTGGGCATTTTGAGGTTTTTTATCTGGAGAGCAGAAATGCAGAGAATTTGGTATTTGAGCTAAAAAATGTTGGAACCGAAGAATGGAAACTTTTGAAACCTCTTGGCTGATTTATTGGTATCTGTAGTGATGACCGTATCATCTTTATGTCTTGTGAGGTACCTAGCACATTTTTGGGTACTGGATAAAAAAATAAAGAATGATTTTTTTCTTTTAAATTATGATTTCCATGTCTTGTCAAATAACTTATCTGTGGTAGTATTATTGGACAAGAAGCCTATCAAATGGACGATTTTTCACCAGTTTTGAATTTCTTTCCAAAGCTGCAATATATGGTTAATAGAATTAGTCAGGAATTTTCTGTGGGAATGATTTTCTGACAGAAAATTAAATTTTTGCAAAATTGAAATTTTCCATGGAGGACAATCAATTTTGCTCCCAAATTTTCATTTGTCATCAGGAATATCTAAATAAAATATTTGTTTTGGGTTGGTGAAGAACATCAGAATGGCCATACTGATTCAGACCAATGGTCTGTATAGCCCAATAGCTTGTCTTCCAACAGTAGCCCTTGCCAGATGTTTCAGAAGGTGTCAATCTAAGCGCTCCTGTATTCACACCTACACACTACTGTAATGATGTGTGTAGAAAATATGCCTTGTAAGGTATCATTTGAAAACTAACAGCACGCTGGTCATTAATATAAATGCATGTGTTAACCTTATATGAGAAGTAATGAATTATCTCTGTATAATGTTACTAGAACCTATTTCAGAAGACAGCCTATCCTAGGTAAAGGTGATAGACAGAGGGATGTGGATTAACCTTAATTTACATATTAGCTTTAAACAAAGCTATTAAAAAACCAGTGGGGCTGTCTTGTGCCTGAACTCGAGAGACAGAGAATTAATATGGCTTCTGCACCTCAGAGAGACACAGACGATGGAGTCCCCCAGGAGCCTTCCTAACTTTGAGAACAAAGACAATTCTTTGGGAATAAAAGGTCCAGAGAGAGACTCCATATTTATCTTTCACCTAAGAAGACAAGGGAAACCAGTACCTTGCAGTTCTGTGGAAGGTACTGACTGAGAGACAGTCAGCCATGCTGGACAAAGAATAATTGGTGAGAAAAACCATCTTAAACTAAGACTGAACCTTGCAAGATTAAGTTTTAGAATTTTAGATGTGTGTTTTCAATTTTATTTGCTTTTGATGATCTCTGCCTTTATTTCCTTTACTCGGCATCACTTATCCTATGTCCTTCTGTTGATAAACTTGTTTTATTTTAATCTAAACCAACCCAATGCTGTGTTTTGAACTGAAGTAATTGTTAACTCCAGTTAATGTGGCCAGCTGCTGGTATTGTCTCTTTAAAGGAGCAAACAAACAGTATTATTTCTCCAGTATTTGCCAACCGCAAGTGTTGAAAAATTATGAGTCAGGTGCACCAAAAATCATGAGAGTGGCTTTAAATCATTAGATTATGTAAAAATAATAGATTTGATGTTCTTTTTATTTGCCTTCTACTTTTGAGCCTTTAGAGTGCACTGGGGTCACATTTTGAAGCTTTCTCCATTGCCACGAGGGCTAGAAACTTTTGCAGGACTGGGGTTGTAAAATAGATCTCTGTTGTGTTAACGTTTTGCGTGATCTGCAGAAAAGACAGTATTTTATACAGTGCATATTTTCCCAGTGATTCACTCTGCCCCAAATTTAACCTTCCAGAAAGTATGGAATATTTTTTAAGCTTCTTTAAGCAAAGTATAATAGCTCAGCCAAAGCTTTCATGAAGTATTTTCCAGTTGCTCAGTGGCCCTAGCCTTATGACCAATATAAATCCCAGCCTAGAATACACTTGGTAATCTTTGCCCGTATCCAGTGTTGGTGGTCTTGAAATCCTACAATTGAGTGGAAAACTGTTAAATGCTTGGGCTTCAGTGCATGGCTAATTAATTCTTTGCAGAGTTTTAGTCCTTTAAAAAGTGTTTAAAACATTGATTCACTGTATCATTTAATATTGCATGGTTTTGTGGAAATAAATTTTAACAGTTTGATTCCCTAAGCAGTTCATAGAGTTATTTCTCTTTGGCTTACACAGAAAGTGTAGAGCAGTCTTCTAAACTTTAAGGTCAAAATATTCATACTGATATTGGGTGCCTCCCTTCTTGGGTGCACAAGACACCTTACATGACACCCAAAACACTGAGGCACACAATGGCAGTGGTTGCTGTTAAAAGTATGGCTATACATCTTTTTCACACTAATTCCTCTAGGAATTGGGCACAAATTTAATAATTCATAAAGATGTCTCTGAAAGGTGGCTTTTTTTTATTGGCCTCTTGTTCTCTGGAGACAGCATTATTATTACAAGGATGTATAATATTACAACTAGGGCTGTCGATTAATCGCAGTTAACTCGCACAATTAACTAAAAAAATTAATTGAGATTAAAAAAATTAATCGCTATTAATCGCAGTTTTAATCACATTGTTAAACAATAGACTATCAATTGAAATTTATGAAATATTTTTGATGTTTTTCTACATTTTCAAATATATTGATTTCAATTACAAACCAGAATACAAAGTGTACACTGCTAACTTTATATTATGATATTTGATTACAAATATTTTCACTGTAAAAATGATAAAAAAAGAAATATTTTTCAGTTCACCTCATACAAGTACTGTAGTGCAATCCCTTTATCGTGAAAGTTCAACTTACAAATGTAGATTTTTTTTTGTTACATAACTGCATTCAAAAACAAACCAATGTAAAACTTTAGAGCCTACAAGTCCACTCAGTCCTATTTCTTGTTCAGCCAATCGCTAAGACAAACAAGTTTGTTTACATTTATAGGAGATAATGCTGCCCTCTTCTTATTTACAGTGTCACCAGAAAGTGAGAACAGGAGTTTGCATGGGACTTTTGTAGCCGGCATTGCAAGGTATTTAAATGCCAGATATGTTAAACATTCTTACGTCCCTTCGTGCTTCGGCCACCATTCCAGAGGACATGCTTCCATGCTAATGCTGCTCATTAAAAAAATAATGTGCTAAATAAATTTGTGATTGAACTCCTTGGGGGAGAATTATAAGTCTGTGGCTCTGTTTTACCTGCATTCTGCCATATATTTCATGTTATAGCAATCTTGGATGATGACCTAGCACTTGTTGTTCATTTTAAGAACACTTTCACTGCAGATATGACAAAACACAAAGAAGGTACCAATGTGATATTTCTAAAGATAGCTACAGCACTCAACCCAAGATTTAAGAATCTGAAGTGCCTTTCAAAATCTGGGAGGGATGAGGTGTTGGAGAATGCTTTCAGAAGTCTTAAAAGAGCAATACTCCGATGCGGAAACTACAGAACCCAAACCACCAGAAAAGAAAATCAACTTTCTGCTGGTGGCATCTGACTGAAAATGAACATGCTTTGGTCTTTACTGCTTTGGATTGTTACTGAGCAGAACCCGTCATCCGCATGGACGCATGTCCTCTGGAATGGTGTTTGAAGCATGAAGGGACATATGAATCTTTAGCACATCTGGCACATAAATATCTTGCAATGCTGGCTCCACCAGTGTCGTGAGAACACCTGTTCTCATTTTCAGGTGACACTGTGAACAAGAAGCGGGCAGCATTATCTCCTGCAAATGTAAACAAACTTGTTTATCTGAGCGATTGGCTAAACAACAAATAGGACTGAGTGGACTTGTAGGCTCTAAGTTTTACATTGTTTTATTTTTGAATGTAGTTTTTTTGTACATAATTCTACATTTGTAAGTTCAACTTTCATAATAAAGAAATTGCACTACAGTGCTTGTATGAGGTGAATTGAAAAATACTATTTCTTTTGTTTACTACAGTGCAAATACTTGTAAACAAAAATAAATATAAAGTGAGCACTGTACACTTTGTATTCTGTGTTGTAATTGAAATAAATATATTTGAAAATGTAGAAAACACCCAAAATATTTAAATAAATGGTATTCTATTATTATTTAACAGTGTGATTAATCGCAATTCATTTTTTAAATCACTTGACAGCCCAAATTACAACTTTAACTTGTTCTAGCAGCTCCACAGAGCACTTACCAATAAGGAGACAATTCCTTTAATATAAGGGAGGAAAATGAATTCAAACACCAACATTATCGTAGCTAATTATGTGTAAATGTATATAGATAGATAGATGGGGTTTTCAGATATGCCTAAGTGAGTTAGGAACACAAGTTAATCCCAAGTCCCACTGACAGTCAATGAGATTTGTTCTCTTAACTCCCTTTGGCACATTTGAAAATCCTACCCTATATGTATATGAATGCTGGATGTGCCCCTGTTTTGAAACAGTATTTTTAATTATCCCATGGATAAATTAAAACAATTTAATTGAAGTCCTAAGCATGAATCATGGGGCATATTTTGAAAATATAGGACTATCTTTTCTATTAAGATGAATGCTAGGTATAAATGAGGGTCTGAGGCCTAGCACACAGTTTTGTTGTCTTTGAGGTTCAGGATTTTTTCCAGATCCTAATGCTGAAGAATGCATGTATGGGGCATGCTGAGGAGAAAGGGAAGCTAATTAAACAGAGAGACATTCTGACATTCTAAACATAATTCCTATTCTGCATGTTAAGAATTTGGAAAATATTTTGCTGTATGCATAACAGTCTAGCTAGAGCAAGCACTGGGTGCTTACAATACTTTACCTCAAATACACACAGTTTTTCTGCCAAAGGGATTGAGTTTCAAAAAGGAAACTTTCCAAATGGAAGAAGGAACTAGATTGCAACTACGTATTAGAATTAATATAAAAAATTCAAAGCCACATGCAACTGATTAGAAAGCATACACAGCACTATGGAATAAATTCATTAGGACCTTTTTAAAAAAAGGAACAAGTGCCCATAT